GAGGATATGAAGAATATCCATAAGATTTATATGCATTCTTCGCATATAGGAAGTGAAAATTCCATGGTTATTTTTGCTCTGCATTTTGACAGCTGTCAGAATTTGAATTCTTTCTTCCGTAGCTATTCTTTTCCACGTAAAAAAACATATCCAGTGCATAGAACAAATGTTTCAACTTTTCACATGAATATTCCCTTTGATTTTTTCACATACACATGTTTTGCTTTTTATCCACACCCGGTGAATTTCAAAAGGCAATTAAAAGATATCCTCCAAAGCTCGAATAACATTCCATTTCCTAGCTTTTTTCCCCACACACTTGCAATGGGGGTAAAAAACAATATGCGTTTTACGATAAAATTGCAGGAAATTATTATTATTTTAGTTGTGTGAATGCATCAAAGCTGGGTATGAAATGGGTCAGCTCTCCCGCAAAACCCATTTCAAGCTTAAATGGCTCAATATGGGCTTGCATTGTTTGGTGTTTTTGGAAATTTCATTGGCCAACGAATGCTGGTTGTCCTTTATCGACTATTCAGGAGGCGAATAAGTGGCGAGGAGACGCTCTCATCTGGCAATACTGTGCGTCCGCCATCTTTGTTTGGATTTCAGAACAAGATTTAGTTTAGTTGGGCTTTTATTCACCAAATATTGCGCCTCAAAGTTCAATAGTTATTAGCCTTTTTGGGTTGGAACATGAATTTTTGAAAATGTACAGTGCAGAGCATAAAACTCATGAAATTTACAGCAGAAGCGACTCACGGGCGTTTCTATTATTTTTCATACGCGTTTTTCCGCGCACACACACACACACTCATAAAAATCATTATTTATTCGAGGATTGAATCACAGTCTCAAACGCAATGTGCGCTGAAGCCTCTAATGGGCGAAGAAAGTGGTGAAAAGGAATGGATAAAATATGAAATATCTCCCGAAGCCGTACATTTAGTAATTTACAATTAAATTACACGCCATTCATCATGGATGCTACGTGAATAAAATAATTCCCATTAATTCTCTGCACTCCCTGCGCCTATCGCGCCTTCACCTGGACGTTAGATTAATTAATCCCCAGGAATAATTCACTCCAGCGGATGGGTGGCTTCCCGATTGAATTATCATTAATATCATTTCATGATTTTCACTCGTCATTGCATGCGCAAATCGCCACAACATGTGTACCCATCAATAATCGTCACCTCGATTGTCCCGAGGATGAAACGCCGCCTCATTTTTCCCCGGTCTGTAAACAATACAAAGTGCCCTATTAATTTAATGAGTAGCATTAATCACAGTCGCGTTTTTCTGCTCCTGTTGAGATTAAATCACATGGAAAATTGCCTGTCTCGCGACACAGACGCCAATACATCTGACGGCCAGTGGCCGAAGTACGAGGCAAATTCGACACAAGATGGCGATCATTGTGATTTAATCCCATAGTTTACAATTAAGACTATTAAAGTGAGACTTTTCGTACTTATTCGCCTCTTTCTGGCGCCGAAGACAACTGTCAGCCAGACGAATTGCTTGAGAAAAGCAAGAATCTTGGCAGAACAATGTCCCATTAAGGCGGATAATTAGAATTCATGATGAATGCTGAGAGACTATCAATGAATTTCAATACTTCTTGTGCGGACATTAATTTTCCTATTGATGATATTGTTAGGGAAGTTAATGCAGTGAAGAGACAAGCATTTCCGCGTCTCGAGCAATTGCATATGGGATTTTCCTTTTTTGGGGGGGTAACAGAGAAAATCCTCCTTAATTGATGGATTGAGCAGGAAAATCATCAGCTCGGCATCCAATATTAATGACTGGCCGTAAAATTAATGAATTATTTGACAAACACTACGAGTCTCGGTGGCTCAATATTTATTGATTAATTCCACCCAAAGTGTGGGTCTGATTTATGATAATTAATTTTCTACTTATGATCATAATTAATTTTGGCCACCGCACACCAGGAATTCCGCGCTTCTATTAAAGTAGAACGACTAGGATTTCCGCAAGAGGACTTTTGAGGAGATTCTGGCGGAATTTTGTCGCAATTCTGCATCATTTGACTATAATTTGCGTGAAGAGCGCGCGTAAAGTAAATAAATCACCGAGGAATTGTGCTCCAATTGTTGTCGAGAGAAAAGGAGGAGCGACTTTATCCCATGAATTAGGAGACTTTCAACTTTTCAGCACGGACGGCTTAGGAGACATTTATGACTGTGTGCAAATGTATCCACAAAGATATCGCATGTTTTACGATTTCTGACAAATTCACCTTCCTCAGCATCCCTTTTGTTCGCAAACCCTCCGCAAAAACCATAAACAATCTCACGAGCATTCCTCGTTAATTCCGCATCTCAAGTCACGCCTCTGGCAAACTTCTGCAAATTTATTGTGACCTCTCGTGATCCCTTCCAGGCACTGTGCTTTTCGTCCTGAATTCAGGGGATTTTGCCAAAGCCTCAAAAATTGCTGCTTGAAAAATATTTTTTTCCTTCTTCAAATTTAATTTCTATTGAGTGCACTCGTGCAACTGACACATTCAGACATGCTCGGTGTTATAAATTTGCCTGCAAATGGCTGAAATGTTATTTTATTCTGTCCGCCAAAAAATATCCATCACTGGGAAAACTCATGAATTCCACCCGACACACATAAATACTGCAATAAACATTTTTTTCCCATCATGTGAGTGCATTTTGTCCAATCCAAGTGCAATTTCCGCCACTCTTTCCCGCGGCCAGAAAAAGAGTTTGATTGACAAAAATAAATGGTGAATCAATCGAAAAACACTCATTATGTCTTCTGCTGTCACTTTGTTTGTCTGTCACTCCGGGCAAAAAGGGTTAATTAAAATGCAGACAACAGTGACAGAATTATTTATAGTGGCACTCTGGATGTGCTTTTGCCCAAATTGTCAAGCATTTGAAGTAGAATTTTTAGCCATTTCAATCAGATTGACGAGATTAAATCCTTCGTTTCCTCGCAAATGTGCTGGGAAATTGCAGGCCACGCCCATTTCGATGCTCCGCCCACACTTTCTTCGTCTTATTGACAGTTGAAATTTTCCAACTAGAATTCACTGCAGACAAACTCTAGTGGAAGAATAGACCCGAAAATGTTTACAATCGCACGCTTCTTCCGCGCTTGGATGGCTTTTTCTCATCGTTAAAAAATGATTGACATAATTTATTGCAGTGAATTTATTGACTACCTCATGCCGTCATTCATCCGCCTCGTAAATTCTCATCGCTACTGAACTGTTTGAACAATATAAAAATGAAAATGAAACCCTTTCGGAGCGTCGAAAAAATCTCCACGGGGAACTTCATGGTTATGGCGAAGAATGGAGGAAAGGCAGTTAATTTTGAGATGTTTTTCAGCCACTCCTGGAGGAATTCAATGGCAGAGACATATGGCTCATTAGGTCTATTGCTGGGCATTCTGGATTTTCTATGCAGACAAATTCTCAATTGGCCATGAATACTAATTAGCATTGATTAAACTTCCGCGCCCTGTGCCAAATCTAATATCTCAAATGGATGCTAAGTGCCAAGGCGATGCTAATTCCCAGTTTGAGAGTGGATTTTGGGGACAAAGCGGCGGGAATTGGCAAAATCCTGAGGCGTGTGGGAGTGAAAACTTCTTCCTGGGCTCGCAGGGAGCGGAAAAAAAGCGGAGAGACACTCGTCGATATATCCGAAAAAATAAAACTGCCATTCAAACTTTATTTATTGCCGGAAGCATCGCAATAAACTATAAATTCACCCCCCCGACATGTCCCAATTCCTTTCCACGCTCCTTTGCCATGTCCTTTCGACTGCGGGCGTCTGAGGTGCGGAACAGGTTGTGCAATAGACTGGAGATAATTTGCAGCAGGAATCGCGCGAGAACAAGAGATTCCCGCAAATTCAAGTGGGAGAGATTAGGTGTATGAATGAACGTCTGAATGTTTACTTCTCATGTGAATTCACACCTGAATGTCTTGACGTTTGCATTTAATCGAAAGTCATGCATTAGTCACAGTGACTGAGCGACGAAAATGGGATTTCATGCCGCATTTCCTTTCCATTCTCCTCCTCCATCCAAGAAACGCACATCAGTTGCTATCAGGAAGCTACAAGGTTTTAAGGAGAACATCAGCAGCGTCTCCCATTCTGGGTCAATGCAGAACTTCAGCACAAGAGGACAATAACTCAACTCATATCTGCAGTGTAAGTGCGCCCTAAAATATCCCTGTGTTATTTAAAAGGGAAACCTTGAGTGATGCTTTAATGTAACTCCCAGCCAGTTAATGTGCGCATTAAAACTCAATGGTTAAGAGCAGCTAAGTTTGTCATTTCGACATACACAATTCCGCATGCACTCGCCGAGCGGAAGCTGTAATTTCGCGAAATGGTGTCCTTCAAGACTCCTTGAGACATCACGGCTTTTACTGTGCGCTGGAAGTTCATTGTGGGCGCTTTTTCTCACCTGAATTAATCCAATTACGCGCGCCTTCCCGTGATGGCCGTGTTAATATTTCAGCATGAAACGGCATTTCGGCCGTATCTCGTTTGCCCTTTTATATGTCGCCCCAACCGCAGCGTCACCCTTTCGTCAATTCTCCATCCAGAGCTTCCGCGGTCGCTGCTGAGATAAGAGATCATCGCTCGCTTTCATCACGTCCCAGCAGAGCTTATCACACTCTAGATTGAGGATTTAGAGACCTTGATTTGGATTCTTACGGAAATATCTTGTGGAAACTTAAGAGATTCATTAAAATTAGGAAATTTGTGATGTCTACAACTGTTTAGAATATATATCAAAAGCAAAAATGACCTTTTTCCACGATAAAAGTCGTTTTTTGTGCACTTTGCAATGAAAATATTAACAATTGCGCCATTTTTCGACGGATTCGCGCAAGCAAAATGGCGTCTTAGAAGGGATGAAAGATAGTCTACATAAAAATACAATACAGTTGGCGATTCAGAATGCTTATTTATTGCAATTTCTTCACCAACCTAAGCGTACATCGTGCCGACGAATGAGAAGAGCAGGCAAGAGAAGACACGACCGGAAACCTGACATTCCTCCGTTCCAATTCGGGCAGAGCATCTCTCAGTGTATTCCTGAGCCTGCTCAGCTTTGACGAACTTAGCCAGCTGTGTCCTGAGCACATCCTCATGGAACGCGTTGTCCTCCGAGACAAAGCCCACTTTCTTAAACACGCAGTCAGCGAAGCAGCCGTAGAGATGGCGAACGGTGGTAAAGTTGCCCTTCACGATACCTTCCAGATCGAAGAAGCTCTGTCCAGTTTGCTGGGCGCAGGGAACGACAACAGCCAAGATAGCCGGCGGAGGAAGTTGATCATTCTGACACAGAACCTAGAAATGCCCAAAATGCAGCTCAGTTTGATACGAATCTTGAGATTTCAAGACTTACAGCAGGAAGAAGGCCAACAGTCAAACACAGCGCAATTGAAACGATCTTCATTCTGAGATTTCCCTAGGATAACTGACTACTTGACCAGTAAAGACAGGCATTTTATAACAGCAATTTTATCACGTACAATAAATGTGTTTTCTGTAGATTCATATAATGTTGCACAGGAAAAAAAAGTGTTTTCACATTTAGTCAATGTCTCGCCCAGAAAAATGCTCAAAGTCACACTTTAACATTGCTTAGTAGTGTAAAAATGATTAGAGATATTTTGTGGATTCGATAATCTTACAGTTCAGCTGAACAAAAAAACTTCAAGAATACTTTTACACAAGCACAAAAGACATTTTAATCCTTAGAACAGATGCAATTTACTCAGTGATGTCCTTAAGCATACATCGTGCCAAGGATGGAGAAGATCAGGCAAGCATAGGCGTGACCGGAAACCTTGCACTCCTCCGTTCCTGCTCTGGGTGTGCATCTGTCAGAATACTCCTGGATCTGTTCGTCTCGTAGAAACGTTCCCAGCTGCTTCTTGAACGTTTCCGCTTGAAAGACGTTGTCCGCCGACACAATGCCAACTTTCTTAGAGACGCAATCCGCGAAGCAGCCAAACAGATTGCGAATGCTCTCAAAGTCTCCCGTCATGATCTTTTTCAGGCTATGGATGTCCTGTCCAGTTTCCTGAGCGCAGGGAACGACAACTGACAGAATGGCCGCAGGAAACTTCTGATCATCCTGGCAAAGGACCTAGAAAATCCCATAGGAAAGATTAATGTAAGTGAAACTTGGATTCTAGCTCTAGATTTAGGTTATTTCCTAAGGGAATTTTCTCACTGCGGCTGAAATATCGGTAAGTTAGTGAAGTTGCTGACACTTATCGATACAAAATGCCTGAAATTTCTTTTCTAACACAATTTTAGTGAGAAAATAGGACTAATATGAATCAAATATCCACTAATTAATCCTTAGATTGCGGATATTAACTATTTCTTCCCTTAAATTGTCTTAAATAAAAAGAGAATAGCACGCAATTCAACGATAAGTGTCGGTAATTGTCGATAACTTCAAAACAAAAAGAAGCACGTGGAATAACGCACTATAATAAGAGTAATGAGAGTTCTTGCAAGACTTTTATTGGTATAGATACCACATTTGTTAATGCAATGGCAACTTACGACAGGAAGAAGACTGACAGTCAAACACAGCACAATTGGGATGATCTTCATTCTGAGATTTTCTTTGGGTAACTGACTGCTTGACATGCGAAAATCCGGTGTTTTATAGGGAAAATTTGATCAGAGGTAATTAAGAATTCTTGTCTGATTTTTTTAAGAAGCACCTTTTAAAAGCACTTAACCACTTGACTTTACTGCATTATCACAGATAATGACGCAAAATGACGGTGAAAAAATATGCTCAAAGTCATCATGCTTTAGCAAAGTCGCGTATAATTGGTTCTGGCTATAAAGTTCACTTTTTTCTCCAGCAAATGCAGAATTATCTGAAGAAATTGACGTTAGCAACTCTGTTCTGACGTGTGCAGAAAAAAAAGCCCATCTCATGTGCGGGGAAAAGCTGCGGCCGCAAAAAGAGCAAGTCAAACCTCTCTCATGGCATCCCTTCGGTGTTCCTGACAAGTCAATAACGCACACTATCAGTGCCCGAAGGGAATCGAGTGGCGGAAGCCGTGACACGGCGGCCCCCCAGATTAACAAGGAAGATTAAGCGTTTTATTGAAATTCAATTCGAAAGGATGCGATTGGCGCTGCACAGCCACTTTCTTCGTCTGATGTTGACAGTGATAAATTACATGCTCGGCGCAATTCCACGAATAATCGCTCGGCAATCTCTCTGGCGGGATTTGGGGTGGACTTGATGGACTGCCCGGTTAGGTGCTTCACCTGCGAGCACATCGTGACTTATGTTGCTCCACACTGACCTTCGCCAATCGATTTCTCAGCATCCTGAGCTTCGGGATTCCCGTACACGCGTCCGTGAGACTTCCGGGAAGACGCCGGATAAAAGGGGAGAAACAGGGAAACTCCATTTCGGTTTCAAGGGGAGGGAAGAAACACGCGAAAATGTGCCCAACAACATCATTAAAGGCTCTCGCTGACTTCCTGCTTGCCCCGTTCGCCGGCGGAGGGGATGAAAAAGGGCTGCACTAAAAGCAATCCACTTTTATGTTGGACTATCACGAAAAGGACGAAAAGCGAGAGCTGGCGTCATAAACAAGCATTTTACATTTATTGTCTTCGTCCAAAAGTGGCCAACAGGAAATGATAAACTGTCCCATTGTCAGGGTTGCACATTCTGGCGCTGCAGCTGAACTCCATTGATTGCAATTTGAGGGTGAAAAGTGGCGAATTTCCGTCGCTTTGTGCATCGGTTCTCCAGTGTAAGGGGAAAATATATGCATGGTTTTGTCCACAAATTGTGGTGACAAATCCCTAGAAGAGAGTAGAAACAAGAGGGAGATAATACGGCTAGTGTACACCATTTTCTGACTTCTCACAACCATTCGTTCAATAAAACGATAAAAATGATAAATAAATCCACTAAATTTAATTAATCATCATCATTTTAAATTAAATTCATAATTTACACAAAGTCAAGTGCAAACCTTGACTTTTGCTCTAAAATCTTCTTTAGCAACGAATTTATTAACCATGCATTCACATAAACATATCGAAAGAAGTTTATTGTGGACGGCAAAACCAATTTTTGACTTTGGTAAGGTTTTTTGCACTTGCAAAGTGCGTCATTGAGGACAAAACTTAACGATGTGCCTATAAAATGTCAGAAATCTGTCGAGAATCTATTCAGTTCGCCAGAGATCAACCATGAAGACTGTCGTTACTTTCGCCCTCGCGCTCTTCTGGATTCAAACTGTGAGTTCGCATTGATCGTGACCGCGATCAGGGTTCGTGACTCTGGATTTCCCTTTTCAGGTCCTCGCGCAGGATTATCCGCCGTCGATTGCGAACGTGATTCTGCCGTGCGCCAAGGAGAGCGGCAGCACGGACAGCGACTGGGCGGCGATCCAGAAGGGCGACTTCCGCTCCGTCAAGGACCTCTTCGGCTGCTTCGCCGACTGCATCCTGAAGAAGGTCGGCGTGATCACGCCAGACGACGTCTTTCACGCAGACGTGTTCAAGCAGCGCGTCTCGCTGTATCTCAACGACGCTCACGCGCAGGAATTCACGGACAGATGCGCTTCGCAATTCGGCACGGAGAAGTGCAAAGTGTCCGGAAAGGTTCACGCGTGCCTCATCATGTCGATCATGGGAAATCTGTTCGCCGCCTGATGGAAATCCTTTACCTCTTATCATTTTAAATACCAAATTTGTTTAAATAAAATCATTGCCTGATTGAAGAGAGGAAATTTACATTTGAAATTCATCCCAAAAACAGCTAAACAACTCTGAAAAACATCAACAAAAAGCTTTTATGTGATGTGGTTCAGTCTTTGAAGCGGGTTTTTACATTTAAAAAATTGTTTCATAAGAATAATTGAAGAAAATCATAGAAATATTGAAAAATATCGTTGGGAATGTAATTGTTTCGATCATTAGCCGATTTTTGAGGATTCCGAATGGTTTTTAAACTTAAATAATAATTTTTACATTTATGAAAAATTCAGATTTCAAAAAAATTATTATTTGTAATATCTCGGCAAGATATTTGAAAGAAAAAATTATATAATTTAGAATATTTGATAATTTGAATGCTAGAGAATCTTTAAATGCTCTAAATATGATTTAAATAATCAAATTCCAACGTTAAAACGTTAAAACGCTTGATTAATCGGGTTTTTAGACGCTGAACTTTTATTCTACATCAAAATACATATTTTCCCATTTTACTTAGAGAATATACAGAGAAATTAGTAAGTCAAATATGTGAGAACAGCTGAAAACACAATGAAAAGCAAATTGGGGTTGAAGTGAGAAAAGGAAAATGCTCACATTAAAAAATCCTTTTGCCATAAATCAAGTCTGAAAATTGGCCCGAAATTCAGTCAAGCGCGCCTTCGAGAACACTTTCAATCACTCTTGGCGACACTGAAGAATGTCCCGTGAATACAATTAAGGGATGCATTTTGCACCCTTTCGGCGATGGGTTTTATTGGACGACGAGCGTCTCTTGATTGCGCTCTTCAGCACCGATAATCCCATTTCTTCTGTGCCATCGCATGATTGATTGCAAATTATTTCCTCCTCTTTGACGCACGCCGAGCAAAGGCGCTTCTGCCAGCGACACTCAATTGGCCGCTTCGAGGGCTTTCGCTTTTTGGGGCGTCGAGGCGATGCAGTGATACTCAGCATAGCTCATCACGTTTGGTTATTCGTGAACACGTAACGAACGTTGTGTAGTAATAAGCTCTGCAACGTGAAAGCAAATATCCTGCCAAAGATGCAGCTTTAATCTCCTTTAAGCCATTGCTAGAGTTGTTAGACATTCTTGACGCTATTCAGTCTCTTTTAGCTTCTTTCCATCCAAATTTCTTTCACTCTCCCTTTGATTTTAACTTTTCCCATTGTTTTCTTCTGATCTCGAAGTATTTCGCGTTATAATTCACCTTAAGAATGCCTATTTTTTGTACTTTATACACTCATTTTCTCCTCAATTGTGCGATAAATTCCTCAATTTCCCTCAAAAATGCCACCCTTAAGTGGAAAAAATTCAAATTAATCCACTTTCTGGCCACGAATTGATGACTCACAGGGGGAAATGCGTCCCTTTCCACGCACTTTCGCCGCCCTCGACGCGTCAGATTGATGGGGAAACTTTAATAATGGCCTTCGCCACTTTCATTCAGGAATGCGAGGGCGCTTTTCACCTCTTCTGCGTCTTCTGCTGGCGGAACATCTCGCGATAGTCCAACGGCAGATTCCGCGGTCGCTGGAACGGCCTGTCTCTGCAGCCGAATCTCAGCTGCCCGGACTCCTTCTTGCCCCCGAAGCCGCCGCCCAGGCGCCGCGGTTTCCAGCCACTCATGCGGCGCTGCCACTCGAAGTCCACCAGTAAGCGCGCCCCGTCCACGGACACGCCGTTCATGGCGTCATAGGCGTCGATTGCGGCGCCGCGCTCGCGGAACTCCACGAAGGCATAGTTCCTGGAGGCTCCCGTGACCAGATCACGCACCACGCGGCAGTTGACAATCTCCCCGAAGCGCTGGAATTTGCTGCGCAGCTTCGCCTCGTTAGTCTCCCGGAACAGTCGCCCCACGAAAATCGTGTTGCGCGCATTGCCCTGCACTCTGGCGTTGGGCCTGTAGGTGCTGTCGATGGCGCGCGTGAGTGCCTTGTCGTGTGGAGTGGCGTCCTGGCCTGGACAGTGTCATGGAAGAACGGGAAGAAGTCAGTGAGAATGTCAAGAAGAAGCAGAGAAACTCACCATCAATCGATCCGACGGCTATCGGATCGTATTTGTCGGCGTATCTCTTGAATCTGGAAGTGCTGTGAGTCGTGGATGAGGAAGACATCCTGGGCAGACCTCCTACACGATGTTTTCCCCCAAGATTGTTGAAGAAAACAAGTCGGATGAAAAATGTAAACAAAGCTTGTGAACAACAAACTTTGAGGTTATGCATCACAACCCAGCTGACACGTTCATGATCTGCGTATGGAGTATAATAAGAGCAAATAAGAGACATAATAAATTTTGCTAGTAGCGGTTTTTGATAAAAGACAAAAAAGATCTCGTAATCTTCGTAATCTCATTAAAATATCATAAAAAAGATGTTGAATTTTTATCGCAAAACACCTTTAAGAAATCTTATAACTATTGCATATTATCGATATTATCCATATCATGGTGTAGTATTTCGCCAAAATCAGATGAAATCCAATCAAATTGTTAAATTATCAATTATTTCTGATTGTTTTTCCAATTTTATTGCTCACTCTGGCTTCCATCTCACGAGAGAACCCAAAATTTTCAATTATCCACCCAATTTCCACCCTCTTTCGATTAATTGCTGGCGTAGTAAATGCGTAATAAAATCGGCAGAGCCGATATTTGGCCGCACAAAGTTGGCTGGCGCGCGCTTGACAGCTCTGACTGTCAGTTTTTTGTGGGCCTTTTCACGGGTTTCGTGGTGCAGAAGCAATTGGCAGGAATTCGAGCAAATTTCACAGTGAAAAGTCTGGGCGGCGCGATCGCGAAGGATGGTAAAAGGTGGGCCGCAGGCTGGTGCGTGCACAAGTGACATCGCCAGTGGCGGAATCCGCTCAACAGGTGAGCCAGGCGAGTGGGAAAGTGCGGGTGAAAGTTTTGCTGGGAGTGATTTGCTGATGATGTCACTCTTCGTCGCCCTTGCAGCTCGCCAGTGAGCGTCCGGGCGCGGCCGGGATGGAGCTGCAGGCCGCCGGGGAGGCGCTGGCGGGGCCCGTGAAGGCCGGGGAGGCGCTCTCGAAGCGCCAGAAGTGCAATAGGAACGCCGAAATGGCGAGCGCCGCGGACGAGCTGGAGAAGTGCGACGTGAGTCCGGAGAACAGCACGAAGCGCGACACGCCGAACGGACGCATGGCCACCAGCGACATCCAGGCCGGCAGCGTGCAATTGCCCGAGGGCATGCCCAAGAGCATCTCCCTGTTCGACGTGTGTCCGGCGCCGCCGTCGCCCAAGCACGCCATGGCCTTCACCATCGACTTCGGCGAGCGCGACGAGCGCGATGAGCAGCGCTACAAGAGCATGTACGAGCGCTTCCAGAGCCGCCACAGGCGCGGCGCCTCGCTCACCAAGTTCGACGAGCCGCAGCCGCCTCGCACGCGCATCCCCATGAGCGCCAGGCTGCCCAGGAAGCAGCTGCCGACGCCCGACAAGGGCGCGGTGAAGATGCGCGACAAGAGTCGCCTGCAGGCGCCGCAGGACGCCTCCAAGCGGCACAGCTGGAGTCCGCGCTCCAGCACCGTGACGCCGGACGCCAAGATCCCCGCTACGAAGTTCACGCCGCGCTCGCTGACGCTGGCCAAGGCGCTGGAGGGCCGCACGTCGGACGCGTCCAGCGAGGACGCGCTGCAGGCGCCGCTGGACGACCTGCGGCCCGTGGGCGAGGATCAGGTGAGCGAGGCGGGCACGTACACGCTGGACGCGGACAACTACACGGAGGAGCAGAAGGAGCGCATGAACATCGATCAGGAGGAGGAGCTGAAGATCGAGGAGAGCCCGAAGCCTGAGCGGCCGACGTGCTTCGAGACGAATTTAGAGGTGAGTTTGCAAAGTGTTCAGAGCGCCCACGAGTGACTGATGATCGTCTGAAGGCCGCTTCTGACCTTTAACTTCCACTTTCGAGGCGACGCTTCAATGACTGGCTCTTCACCGTTGTCTCGAGAGCCTCGCGGGCGCTTTTGTCTCGCTTCTAAGAGCCAAAAGTGGGAGGAAATTGCTTCACAAGGATTCAATTTCACTTTAGACACCTGGATGGAGTCGCTTTAGTTAGTTGAATGCTTGGTTTAGACATGCTTAAATTTTCTTGTGTATTTTCGGCTCGAAGGACAGAAAAATTAGTTTGATTTTCGTCAATTGTTGAGATCGATGAACTCTTGTGGTTTTAAATCTCCAAAAATACTGGAAATTTGCTCAGAAACTTCAGTCCAATTCAGTGTGAGAGAAGATTTATTGGTTCTTGAGCAAAAGTGGCACTTAAGAAAGCCTCTTGACGCGCGCGCGCGCTATTCGACTTAGAATTAAGCCATATGATAATGACAGTGACGCAGTTTTGAGCTCAGGATTAGTGGGAAATCCTACTTCATAACAAATCTTTATCACTTATCTCGTGATCTTGTTGCTTTTCTCTGGATTTTCACAGGCACAAAGTCTCAAAATAGAAGAATGACAATCGCCGAGCCTCTAATTTGACTCCGAATTTGATTGGATACGTTAATTGAACACGTTGACGGACGAAAATTGATGATTTAACCTCTGATGAATATAATTTGGTGGCCTTGATGGGAAATTTGTGTTGTTTTCATCACATTTGGCATCGATTGAATTTGGATGCATTTCCTGCGGAAGAAAGTGTTTCGCGAGCAACTTTCGCTCTCCTAATAATCAGCAAAAAAGAAAAACATTTCTTTTGCCATCAATTAACTCATCTCACGCCGAATTCAATGGTTATTTAGAGATTATTTTTGCTGATGGGATTTTTCTATAATTTGTAACATCGCACAAGAGATCATCAGACGCTCTGAGAGGCTTAATTGAGTGTGTTCACAACACTTGCACTGCTTCGCCTTGGGAAAGTGTGTAATTTGTGTTTGGAAACACAATAAACAGCTGCTTTTTTCTCTCTCTCTCTCTCTCTATCTGTGTGTGTGGCAAAATTTCCATTGAAGCACCAACGAAAAGATGCATTTTTAATCGTGCCGCTTCTTTCGGAAGATGTTTTTAATTGATCAAATTTGTGAAAAACAACGCGCAAAGTAAGCAAATTAAATCGTGTTTCGTTTAGCAAATTGTTCACCGTTTTTCGGTGCTTTGGGCACATGTTGGCGCAATTGAGGTGCTCAGAAGTTATATTTAGGTCGTCATGCGATTGTCCATGGAATGTCTTATGATTCTCAAAGGACAATTCTTATATTTGCAGCGTGTTGAACAGCATTAACACACTGTTTCTTCATTTTCTCAGCAGTGTTTGAAGCTTTCTTAGCTTGTATTTCATGTATTTGCCTTGTTCTGTGAACACATGGGACTTTCTTGCGATATTCCTATGGAATCTCGTCTGACAATCAACTGAAATGTCTGACATTTTCGCTCTTCTTGCAGACATTCGACTACGATTTATCCCAAAGAGACGAGGGCAAGCTGAAGATCCAGGACGGCCAGGCGAGACGAAGGAACGTCCTTGAGATCTCTTGCTCGCACGAAACGTCCACGGCGAAGCCCAAAGTGTCGTATTTGGAGCGGCTGAAGAACCGCGTGCGGAACATCAGCGACCGGACGTTCCACAAGTCGCGGTCGCCGGACAAGCTGCTGCCGTCGCCGGACGTGGGCTGCTTCACCAGTGTGACCACGAGTGGGATTCTGAGTGTGAAGCCGACGCTGGACACGAATCCGCGCCTCACGCGGCGCAACAGCCTGACGAAGAGCCAGATTGACAACTCGGAGTACGTGCAGGGCGTGAGTCGGCTGAACCTGGGCGGCAGCGAGGAGTGCGGCGTGCGCTCGCCACGGCGAGAAGTGAGCTCGGGCTCGGCCATCAAGACGGCGGCCACGAAGAGTGACTGGATTCAGGAGTGGGCGCGTCACGCGCGCCAGCACTCGGCGCACATGTCCAGGAGCTACAATTTCGAGAGTTCGCCGACGGACGAGAGGCAGCGCTTCAAGCAGGAGGACATGAGCCGGAGTCAGTGCGATGGGCGGCGGGCGTCCGTGCGGAAGCCGCCCGTGAGTCCCACGAAGATTCCCAGTCCCATCGGCACTCTGCGACCGCGGAGCCGCAACGGCAGCCAGACGGAGCTGGCCAATGACACGGATGTGTATCTGCAGAAGACGGCGGCCGCCATCACGACGCTGCAGAAGATGCACAGGGAGTCGCTGAACAACTCACCACAGAGCCCGCGCAGTCCGCAGAGTGAGGAGATGCTGCTGATGCAGCTGCAGCGGATGCACCGGCTGCATCGGCGGAATCACTCGCTGGACGGCACGGAGGCGCCCGTGCGACGACACACGCGCCATCACTCCTTCGAGGGCACGGACAATCTGCCGCCGCGGCCCGTGGAGGCGCTGGTCGCCAAGAGACGCGCGGAATTGATCAAACAACCGACGCACAGCTCGCCCATCAGGCGCTCCACGTCGTTCTCGGCCAAGACGAGCGGCAGCACGCCCAAGATGCCCTCGAAAGTGCCCACGAAGCATCAGCAGAGCATCCAGAAGTCCGCCAGCAGCACGAACTTCCGCGCCGTGATCGCCTACGCCGATGACGACATCATGGAGTTCTACATCAATGACAATGTGGATCTGGACGGCGACCAGCTGTCGTCGGAGTCTGACCTCAGCGATGCGCAGCAGCCGATCTCCAATACGCGCTGCAACAAGGCCTTCCTCATGCGCATGGAGCAGAACCGGCGTCCGGCCAGCGCCGCGGCGGCCAAGCAGGGCGTCATGGCGTGTCCCAACACGCCGGAGATGCGTCGCCGGGAGCCAAATGTGCGCACGTCCTTTCGCGAGAGGATGTCAATGCCGCGCGACTCGAGTCTGAATCGCATGAAGCAGGATCTGGCCAGGCGACAGCAGCCGCAGCCGCCGCCGGCGAAGGCGGAGCCGAAGCTGGCGAAGGTGCAGCCAAAATACATGGACATTTCCAAGTATAAACCCGTGACGGGCGCGAACTTCCTGAAGAAGGACGAGTCCAAGAGCTACTTGCTGCCCAGAGAGGTGAAGAAGAGCCCGAGCAGTGCGTCCGTGAATCTCAGCCGGACGGACGCGCAGCGCGCCAGCAACAGGAGCATCAAGTCGGCGGGCATGCGGCCGTCGTCCGGCAAGAAGGAGCCGCCAAGTAAGTGGACGCTTTCCGTTAACCCTTTAGCGGACAAAATAAGTGTGTTTTTCTGGGAAATATCATCCAATTAGTCAGCAACATGGTTTGAAAGCTGTGAAATTGCAGCTAAATTTTCAGAAGTGGGATTTAATTTCGGTCAGAAATGAGCTAAAATCGTAAATTAGTCGTCATTTTAGCGTTGAATTCCACAATTTTGTTGAAATTGAATGCGAAATTAATGAAGTAATGACTTTAGATGATCGATTTTAGGACATTTTTAGACAAAAACTGTTTGAAATCGAACGAAAATGAGCTTTATTAGTGTTTAGTCGTTACAACTTTACAGATTTCGCATTTCAGTTCGTAAAAGCTACGAATTTAGGTTGAAACTTTACTCAAGATTGGTGTTCTAATGCCTTCTGTCTGTCTTTCCTGTCTCCGCAGTCGCCCAGAAGCAGGCGAAGGAGGCGGAATTGGCCATGTGGAAGCGGCGCGCGAGCTATGATCCCATGAAGGCGGCGCTGGAGGGCAAACGGAAGCAGGATGAGGCGCGCCGCCTGGCGCAGCAGCAGCAAAGTAAATTGGGTGAAAGGTGTGAAGTTTTTCCGCTTTTCTAACGCTTTTCCGCGCGCGTGTTTGTTGGCTTTCCTAACCAATTAGTGGGTGTGTGTGTGTTTGGCTCTTTGTCATGCTAATGATTTCTATTTCTGGACAGTTCATCGGCCGTCCTGAGGTCGCAGTCCTTCCACAGCGGCGTCTCGAGTCAACTGCGAGGACAAGCGTCGAAGACAACGATCGATCAATGGAACGCGCTGACTTTGAGCGATTCCAGTGATGAGAATGAATCATAAATGCAATGTTTTTTTTATCCATTTTATTGCGCGGGAAGAGAGAGAAAACGTTCTGCGGGTTTTTTGGCACTTTCCCACAACAACAACAACAGCAGCAAAAAAAGCTAAATTTCTTCCACGTTTTAATGGTCCTGTTTTTTCTACTTTTGATATTGATTACTTCGGATCGTGAACATTTGAGTCCCTCCTTGAAATTGAATTGTGATTAACGACATAATTTTTATTTATTTCCCACTTATTGTGTAACTTTGTGTCCTTCGAATCTGTCGTAATATTTTTTTATTGTATTGGTTAAAAGAAATTTGTAGTTGAAAGATAGAATCATTGTCACTATATTTATAAGTTTTTACTCATAATTCTTCAATTTGTGAATGCATTCACGTGAATCCCCCCCTTTTTTAAAAAAAAAAATAAATAGAGATTATAGAAAAGAATCAACATGAAATGTTTAACATAACGATAGAGAAAGAAAGAGAGAAAAATTGTGAGGATAAAGCGATAAACGAGAAAGTCAAATTATTATCACTTAAAGTGAATGTTTGGTTCATTTGTAATTATGATTTGACGAGAGATTGTGTTTTTTAATCTTTCATATTTTGTATTTGATTCAAGAGAGAAATTAGTTGGTTATTTATTTGCTAAGGAAAAAAAGGAGGAAGAATTGTAAGCGCAAAAGAAGTTGCTTCAGTTTAAGTTTTGTTACGAAGTTTAGTTCTTAAGGTGAGTAATTCTTTTTATGGACTTTTCTTCTGTCCTTTTACTCCATTTTTTTGAGATCCATAAAGAGAATAGCTTGAGATGAAATGTTTCTGTGCTGAAGCTTTAAGATGAGAATGGAAAAAAAAATAATAAATCAAAATGTGAAAAGATTTCTGTTGTTTTCATTCCTGCAATCTCTTAATATTAAGAGATTGTGACACTTTGTGATGAGTTTAAGGGATTTTTTCAGTGAAAGCGTTTCATAAAGAGTGAAGATTTCACTATTCAAGATTGTTCTTAATTTCTGAATTGGAGTAATTGAATTTTTGGGTAAGGAATTCGTGTAAATAAGGTAAAAATAAGGATTCAGAAGTGCAAAATTGAGCATGAAATATTATAAATTCTTTACCAAACAACATTGGGTGGAAAAATCTTCTCTAATTGCTTAATATTTGAACAATCATTCAATTGGACACACTATAATTCTTTGGTCTTTCGAGGGTTAACAGCATGTTCGTTACTTTTCAAATATTCATCTTGCGATCCGCAGCTAACTTCACAAAGCCTATTCGCGGCATAACCTCAAAAGTGATCCTTCAGAGATTTTGCAGTTTTTGTGTTGTGAAACATTTTCCTGGGAAATCCTCACAAGATGCCAGTGGATTTGGTTGGATACATCTACGCCGCCACCGTGGCAGCCGGCGGAATCATCGGATACGCGAAGGCTGGCAAGTCAATCACGGAATGTCTGTGGAAAGACCCTTTTTCCTCACGTCTTTGCCTGCAGCTTCTGTGCCTTCCTTGGCGGCCGGCCTGACCTTTGGCGCCGTCCTGGGCTTCGGGGCGCACCTGAACTCGCAGTCGCCGCCGCGTCCACTGCTGCAGCTGGGCACCAGCCTGGTGCTGGCCGGCATGATGGGCGCCCGCTGGGCGCGATCCGGGAAGATGATGCCACCCGGACTCGTGTGCATTCTCTCCGTGGTGACGTTCGTGCGCGGCATTTACGTGTACAACGAGCACCTGTGGCCGGCGCGCCGCCAGTGATTGAGGTGACTTTCTCTGGTCTAGAATGTATATATTTTTCATTTTCCAGTCATACAAATAATTCATTACCTATTACAGTCATGTTACATTTGAATATTAATCGGCAATGCAATATATTTACACAATTTTCGTGGCATTTTCACGTTTTGCATGTGATTTTCTCTTCATTTTTGCGACATCTCGTCAATCATTTTCATTTTCCATATCATTCCGGCTCTCATGCACACGTAAATTTTCGCGTATGGACGAAAAAAAGGGGGGAGGGGGGGACGGACGGAAAACTGGGGAAAAATCTCTCAATTTTTGCTTGAAATACTTTTACAATGAAAATTACAGAAAAAAAAGAAAAATATGTCGTAAAATTAGATAAAAACTCTAGATATTCCTCTATAATTAGGATTGTTTTCTCCTTGTCGCGCTTTCTCAACACAAAATAACGAATGCTTTAGAAATATGAGAAGTGAAGTAACACTAAATCTTAAGGGGGCGATCAAGGGGGAGATATTGTGGCAAGAAATGGACACACAGCTCAGCAGAAGTATTTGCAAATGAAGAATCTTTTTACTCATTTTATTTGTCTTGTAGACAATGAAGATCGTGATTTTGGATTTTTAAGCAATAAAAAATACTGTAAATTCGGCTAAAGTCAAACATAACCTCAAAAAGTGTATTTAGAAGAGTTCTGCTCTAATTTTATGTTAAAATTCGCATTGTTTTTCGCTCATTGGCAAATTCTAACACATAGAAATGCGTTAGATGTTTCCTTAAGAATCCCTGAAGAGTTTTTAAAGATCTCTTGATTGAATTTTTGAGGTTATGGCCAAGAAGTTTATCTCGGTGACAAAGCAGACAGTCTAATGACTGTCAATTTATATGCAATTGCTGGTCTTATGACACATGTGACTGTCCATCGTAAATCCGTGGGAATGTCTCACGCTGTTCGCCACCGAAATCAAGATGAAATGAAGATTTTCAGGGAGATAATTTGCATTTTTCTGCATGCAAAGCTGCTAAATAAGATTTAAATTCTATTTTCTGGTTTATGAATTTCGTTATTTTTTTTTATATGATGGAATTGATGCACAAGTTTGGTCACATTATCTCCCCCTTGGCGTCAAATATCAAATTTGAGAAACAGATCATTTGCTTGAGAATCATTGCCCGAGGGTAAATTCTAGCGAAAATCTCTTGTAAATTCTCTATTTTTGATGCTTTTTCACCATTTTCAAGTACAAAAAAAGTGTGTTTTTGTTGTTGTTTTTTTTGTTTCTTCTTTCGCACTTTATCATTGTAAATTGAACCGTCTATCACAATTTTTCTTACTTAACAAGTAAACATTTAAGCACTCTCGCTCTCACACTAACATTTTACATTTATAAGAAGGTATATAAAAAGGTTCCCCACGCTCTTCTTGGTGGTTCTCATGGTACGCCTAAGTTTACAGCTACGAATCTTATAAAAAAATACTTTCTGCTGAATGTTGTTCCTTTTTTGTTGTTGTTGTTAAATTGTTGACAGAAATGTCTGCACTTCACACTATTCTCTAACTTCCCATTCGTTGTCGTTGTAATGGCATTGCTCATCGATTAAATACGTCCACTGGAAGAGAGAAAAGATGAGATTAGAATGACTTAGAAACTGTAGAATTACGCTTTCTGCCCTTGTTGCTGAATGAGTGTGATTTGTAAAGAATTTTGTGGCGTCTTTTAATGTGCAAACATTTCAATTTTCTTTGCAGTTCTTCCGATCTAATCATTCACAAAAAGAGCCGATGAAGTGGAACAAAGTTGAGCACAGAGAATTTCTCTTGCAATTATGGTGTTGGAAATGAGATTCTTTTTTTTTGTATTTTTTCGTACTTGTCAGTGATAAATTTGACTATTAAAAATGGGAGAGAAAAATAGGCAAAAATATCTCTATAATTTGCACATTCAAAGACACTTTTAGAAGGTTTTTTTTGTCCCCCGAAGAGATAAATTGAAGAAAATCGATAAAGATCGCTGTGATGCGTCGCTGAAAGAGAAGAGATTTGACGTTGAACCCTTGAGAAGAAGAAGATGTGAGGAAAGAGCTTGAAGGACTCAATTAACTCTTAGAGTAGAATAGAATGATTGATTTTGAGATAGAATCACAGACTTTTAGTCACAAAGAGTGGGAGAAAAAAGACTTTTACACAACTAAACATGACATTTTATGACAGAACATGAACTTATGCTTGAATTTCCATTCAATTGGTGACTTTAAAGTTGCTAATAATGAAAGAAATCCAGCATTTTATATAGGAATGCAAAGTGAAGATCAAATTTCTTGGAAAATCTCATCAGAATTGTATATGAAAAAAAGGTTAATTTTCTTTTGAAGAAATTACTTTGATTTTTCACACAAGAAATCTTGCAACTTTTCATAATTTACATCTGATTCTGTGTTTTTATCTTTCCGACTGCTGAAAATTGAAGTAATTTCAAGTGAAAATCTCTTATTTTGATTAATTCTTCGACTTTGACTGTCGAAACTGCTGTCAAAGTGCATGAAAGAGGATGAATAGACTGTGATTCCCTCCCTGATCAGATCGCAGACGGAGTCAGAGTCATCAACCGAGAGTTGTGGAATGAGAAGAGCGTCGAGTGGATGATGAGAGACGGCGCAAGAGGCGAAACGGAAGCTTAGAGGACAGTCTGACGGAAGGATGATGGCGGAGGAGGTCGCGGCGCAGTCGCAGCTTACCCTGTTCTCTCGGCGCTGTGGCTAAAGTCTTGGGGGTTTCGTGTGTGGGGTTCTAGGCCGTCTGGCCCAGCGCGACGCGCATGGTGTTGGTGTTGGAGCCGAGGAAGTTGCTCAAGTACGCGGGTGGGTTCTTGGTGGTGCTCTTGGAATACTGGCCGAAGTTCTCGAAGTTGTACGGGCTCTTCGTGGTGGTCGCGATGCGACTGAGATAGAGATCAAAGAGGGCGTTGCGCGTGGTGGAGCGCGGCGTGGTCGGGCCGGCGTGCTGGTGGTTGTGCAGGCCGTAGTAGAAGGGATTGATTTTGGTGCTGAAGGGCCAGTACATGGACGTGCTGGACGGCGGCGGAGGCGGCGTGGTGGTGGTGGTGGTGGTGGGGGGGAGGGGCGCGAGGGTGGGGGCCGCGGTGGTGTCTTGCGCCGGCCACTGGAAGGCCGGCGGGAGGGGCGCGGGCGTGTCGAAGAAGGACTTGAACTTGAACGTGAAGGGCGCGCGCGTGGTTGTCGAGGGGGTGGTGAAGAACTGGAAGGGGGGCGCGGTGCTGGGCGGCGTGTACGCTGGCGGCGGCGGAGGTGGCGGCGTCGTTGGCTGCGCCGGCGAGTGATCGTCCCAGAATTTGTACGACTCAGTGCTGTTCAGACACACAATATTTTTAGTGACTCAGAGCATTATTTTGTGTTGCAAAAGTTCGCGTTACTCAATCTCCTTGCGGCTTTAATTGGAACACGCTAAATTGTACCAATTCTCCGTTGGAATTTAAAGTGTTCCGCGAGACCTGGCAATTTGAAAATCAAGGCAAATAACAGAGCGTCTCACCTAAGCTGAGAATTATATGCATTCGGACTAACATAGCTAGGGGTGTGTTGTGAGTAGTCGGGAATGATGTTCTCGTTCTCCGGCACACATCTTCCGTCCAGGCAATGCTGCAACGACAGGCGCTCGATTAGGACACTCTTCGGCAGTGAGATATCTTAAGCAAGGAGGAGATATTCATTGCATTCATTGAATATTTTACGCCACAACACTGGCTTATTGACTAGATTTCTACATTTAACAAAGAACTTTATCAAAAATGCTTCAATTGAAGGCAGAATATCTCCTCCTTGGCTCGAAAGGGTGAGTCAAAGTACCAATCCGTCGCCACACGAGGAGCCTTCGGCCGCCGGCCTGTAGGCTACGCAATAGCCGCTCGCGGCGTCGAAGCAGAAGAGTTGAGCGCACACTCGCTCGTCCTTAAAGCACGCCGACGTTCCTCGATCTCTCCTGCACTGGGCGTCGAGCGAGAGCAGCGTTCCGGGCAGTGCTCGTCCCAGCGCCTCGTCTTCATGCGGAGCATTGTGGAGGCAACTGGCAGTGTCGCCGCTGTGAGAAGAGATTGAAAAAGGAGCTTTTAGAACATGGGAATAGTGTTTTGAGAAGGGACAGACGGCGATTTCTTTAGTCAGTTCTGTTGGACGGTGTTTTTGAGATTAGACTCACTTGAGGAAGTGATGAAAGCTCTGGATGCTGCACGGCGACCACCTGAAGCCGCGCTCCGTGTGTCGCAGATCGGACATGATGTAGCCGTCCTCCCAGCGGCATTTCTCCGCTCCGGGACCGCCCAAGTAGCTGGGCGGCGGCGAGCCGTCGTGCACGGCGCCAAGCCTGCAAGAGAGTAGAAAAAGACACATTAGAGCGCATTCCACGGCGTCCGGACGTCGTGCACTCACAGATGTCCGACTTCATGGGCCGCCACGATGATGCCACTGAAGCCACCCGTGTCTTCGATGATCGCCACGCTGTTCACCTTCTCCAATCTCTTGTTGACTACACAAGCACCGCCGACGTACGCGAAACCTGCGAAATTACATCACATCTCTCAATGGCGATCATCAATTAGCGCAGCCTGTGATTAATTGCTTGTTTTGGGAACATTCTCCGCAAGAGCACTTGGCCATAAGTCGTGAGAGATGGTGAGTGATGGGTTCAGTCCCAGAGGAAAAGCGCCCAGAATGCGATAAATATAGATAGAAGAGGAGCCCAAAACCGAAAACACTTACGATTTAGGAAAAAAATAAACCCAAGGAAGAGATATTATGGTCTGAAAGGGCAAGAGGATTGGATGTCCAACGAATCGCTACTTAAGGATCTAGTTCCTTCCGGACTCTAGATTTTAGGGCCTAAATTTCAAAATTTAAAATAGCCTTAAATCCGGTTTTAATTATCTGACACAAATGGTTTTATACTTAATGGAAAGGCAAAGATATGATAATTTCTGCAACGGAAAAATCTATTTGTATTGCGTCAAAGTACATAATTCAGCCATAATATCTCCTCCTTGACCGAACCAACACCCAGAATAGTAAATATAAAGTCTAAGATAAATCATTCAATGCTGAAACTGAGAGTTTCTCAGGGAAATAATAACTTACCGGAATGTCTGGAAAAGCTCTTTTATGGGCAATAATAAGTATGATTTAATGGGGAGAATAAGAGTTAAGTTCGAACAATCGCAGGTTATATTATTTCGAATCAGATACAGGTCGAAGGCATAGTGTTTTTTGTTTTTTTTTTTTGATAAGATTGATTTGGCAATTTGACAGACAGCAAAGAATTATAGCGTAGAATATCTGTGGAAGATTTCTGATTTCACATGTTGTAGGAATAGAAAACAAAATTGGTTTTGTGCAGAAGAACAAGAGAAGGAGGAAGTCTGTATTTCTCAGACTTTTGCATAAATGCACAGCTGAAAATGGATGAGAGAAAGAGAGAAAAATAAGGCGAATGCAAATCACATTTCCTTCAATATTTCAGTCTTAGTTTTTCAGAGGAAATATATTCCGCATATATTTTGAACAATTGTGCATTTCGTAAAACGATATTTCGCACTTCATCTACAATTTCTCAAGCAAAGCGTCTTGCATTATTCCACCCAACAATCATGCGAAGTGGCGAAGATGCAATTTTTTTTTGCCGCTTCATTTTACAATTCATATGGCAATTGATTCCTCAAACACTCTTCGTGGCTTCCGACATTCTAACTCCGATTTATAATTTACAGCAATTTAATAAGGTGAATTAGCTGTAAGAATTACTGACATCTTGTCCTGCATCTTCAGCAAATTATTGGTATTTACAGCAAATTGGACAGTCATTACGCATGGCGAGACTTTAACATGCAAATTGTGATGTTTAATTACTCGTCTGGTTGTTTATGTTCTGCTGCAATTTATGCCGATTCTAATGCCTTTGTCTGGATTGACTTTCCTGGACTTTTACTGATTCGTGAAATTGAGTAAATCATGATCAGTTGACGTGTAATTTTCATAAACCATTAATCATCATGGGAAACACAAAGATCTCTCTCAATTGCAATAATACATAAAGAGAGACGTTTTATTACATTACATCTCTTCACTTTCGCTGTTTGCTTGAGTGGCAATGAAAAATTCACATATTTTTGTGGGTCATTCAATTTTTCATGCAATTGAAAGATAATTTTATTTCACTGTTTCTTTAGTGTTTAGTTTTAGCCCTGAAATAGTGATTAAATCAATTTTTCTGTAATTACATGATTTGAAGATGATCAAATTGTCTTTCAATTGCGCCCAAGATGGGTGGAAACGGTTAAGAAACACCGGCAGAATTGTCAATGAAACCCTAAAATGACCACTAATCAACTGTAGAAAATCGAGTTACACGCGCGTGAGGTAACATAGCAGCATTTGATTTATGCTGGACCGCTGCATCGTGAGAGGCTTGAGCGTGTGATGGTGAAGACGCCACAAAGAAGACGTGTGAGAAGATGAATTTTTTCCGTGTGTTGCCAGAGAGATAAAAAATTTACATAAACACGTGCTAAATATTGCTTGTTTTCTGCTTTGGGAAAAGGTGTAAGGTGAAAAATGTAGTAATAAAGTTGCATTATTTGTACATTGTGGGCACAGGAAAGACTATCTTTGGAGGTGTAAAAGACGTGAATTGACGTGCATTCATTCTTCAAGTTCCGATTTAACCCACACAGAAAAAAAGCATTCTAAATTTGATTCTATATAATATATATAAATTCTGTTGCATCTTTTTGCTCCAATTGTCCGATATTTTGTGGTGTGTTTGTGTGTGACTTTCGTTCCATTGCATTGACAAAAAGGACGTGTGATTTTGCAGAGTGAGAAAATACAATAAAAAAAAAGTACAGAGAATACAGGAAAAAGGCTCACACAGAAAGGCAAAATGTGAGAGATGCTTTATTACCTGCTGTACCGCGATTGCATACGTCATTCGCGTATTGCCTTCTGCACATATCAAGTCTGTGAATGAATAATTTACATAAATAAATTGGTGAATTTCTCATGAAGGTCTTCGTATTCATTATTTTATCATCATCATATGATAGATGGAGTATTTTTTCGCTATTGTCGTTGTGCGCTTTGTGACAACGGGAAATGCGAAGATTGTCGTGAATTGCCATTTTCACGATGTCAAGCGTGTGCTGCAAGAGAATCTCTATTGAACATTGCTCAATTGACGATTGTGACCTGTATAAGATTTTCGCTCTGGCGGTTAGTAAAGTCCAATACACTTATGTTGGGATTCCTCCTTAATCCTAGAGGCTTTTTCTCCCTCCAGCACAGAGCCAAAGCTCTAAAAGCTCGCGCCGGTACCAAATAAATCTCTATCCTATTGTCAATTAGGGGATGTAATGGCATTATGGCGGTTATGGTAATGCGAACAACAACATATTTACAAGAAGAAAGGGGGAAAGATTATCCACTCTCTCTCTCTCTCTCCGGTTCCCACATTACAATTACAAGAAAAAAAAACTTTGGCATGTTGTGTGTGTCTTTACCCGCTGTGCCTTTGGTGCATCTACCGCCCTTTCTTCTGCGGCACATATCATACCTGCGTGGTGGAGAAAACACAATTAGAGATGGTAAGGAAGAGAGGTGAATGAGAGGATGAGACATGTCTTCAACATTTTACATCACAGTCAATTGAATTTGCCCATTTTTTTTGCACTCTATTCTTGTCCAAATATTGCGATCTGCTGTCACTTTTTCTACCATCGCGAGCTCATTGCACAACGATGATCTCCTGATGAGCGAGAAAGGCTTGAGGTCGTCTTTGCGCCGGGGAAAGTGTCGGAGGTTCTACCGCAGTTCGTGTGTTACAAAGTCGTGGTTCAGTGATCGACAACTCCATCTGAGCGGGCTTTTTCACATTGGAATGCACTTTAGGGAGACTCCTCAGAAGCCACGCCCACTCCTGTGCTCCACCCACGAAATCTTCCTTCTCGACAGTGAAGCCTTCGACAAGCCTTATTGTGCTTGTCCGACTAATAAAGTGTCGATTTGATGAAGTCTTCAGCATTATTTACAATCAATAAAATCAGTTATTGCACAATAAAATAAAGATGCAACCGGCATTACTCATCTCGCAAGACTCCAGTGATTAGATTCTTGCCTCACAGTCACTCCTAATCCGATGTTTATCGCGAAGATTACCAGCAATCACGTCTCAATAGAGAGTATTTTTCCAATTAAATTATATGAAATATTCCACTGTCTTCCGATTTAACATATCAATAATGAATTTATAATTCTGACTCACAACCAGTGAAGACGATTGGGGGGAAAAAAAGGTTGACGATCACTGAACTTGTCTTGCAAATTTGCGAACTTTGTTGTTTGTTGATGATGGTGGTTTTTTTGTCGGTGCTGTGTTCAATTGCGCTTCGGATTAATTAATAAAAGATGCGAGTGTGCTTGAGTGTTGCGTGAGAATGAGTGTGAAGGGAAGATGTTTTTGCAAACAATGCGCCGAAAAAAAAAGATGCTGATGAATGATCATGAGGAAGAAGATTCAACATCGCAGGTTGTGTAACATTCAAATAAGGCCAATTCGATGGTTCACGTCATAGCGAATGTCATTCCACTCTTTGGCATGATGAAGTTATTGTCTCTGCAGGGATTCTCCGCGATGGCTATGAAAAGGCACGACTCACAAACATAGGGTTTTTCTGGTGTCGTGAGCAATCAATAAACGAAGCGCGCGCGCAATTTGCTCAGGCCTGAAACTCTGAGATATTGGGAAATTTCGGGGCTGGGAATTGTCAGGTGAATTACTTTGTGATCGCCACGGCGATGTCGTAAACTGGTAGTCGCCGTTCCCGGAACAGATACTTTCCCATGTCCGTAAGCGCTGCCGCAGAATCGATGGCGTCACGTCCAACACGATTCCTCTCTAAATATGGCGTGGCATCGCGTCCCTGCAAAGGAGAGAATGTAATCAGGCACACATTTAGCTGACTAATTGATGAGTCTTCCTTGGGCCGAGCCCAAGAAAGACGGCCACAAAATTCAGTGTACATTTCATGATTTTATTGCCCACAAGACATTTGATATCGCAACGGCCATAATTTTATGAGTGCATTCATTGCAAAATTAACATCTCCACCGCAATCGCCCAATAAATATTGTCTTCACGGTTTGGTGATGGTGTGAAATATCGATTTGATACATGAAAAATGCATTTACATTGCGAAATTGTATCTGCGAAGGGCTGTTAAATAAATTATCTCAACAGGTTCGCGACTGATTGAATTGCAACTGATCAAAATGATCAATCAGAAGACGATTGGCTTCCTGATGGCCAAAAAAGGAGAGCTCTTAGATCTCCTAATGGGTCCGCATCATCGCAATTTTCCCACATTAATCATCGTGTCGAACACCATCGCGAGATAACGAAGAAAGTCGGCCAGTCTGTGGCGATCTGATAAGTTTACAGCTTCTGAGGCATGTCAAGCCTGGGTATAATAGACGCTGATCATGCGAGCAGAGCGTTATGTAAAGTGTACTTTGCGAGAAATTGTGTTCATGTCAGACACAATTAAGAGAAACATTGAATAATAGTTTTGAGAGTACAGATGAATTGTGCATTTCGTCTAATTGTATTTTTACATAAGGTGCGATTTTAATTAGAGATTCACAATCATATGATATTTGCCTTTTGCCTATATTGTCGCCTGAGTAACACTCGACATATTTCCTTACTTTTATTGTGTACATATTAATTGTTTGTCTTCACTTCTTCGTGATATCAATCAAGCGCAGTTTTGCAAAAAGCAACCGATCACACGTTGAGACATTGCATTAACATCAAATAAAGTGGCCAAATTGCAAGTATTACAATAATTCCAGGCGCTCCACCGATTTCTGCGAGTGGGAAAGAGAGCGCGAATAAATTGGAAAATGAATAATGCAAACAATACAGACACACGAGCATGGGAGTTTTATGCACCGAATGCACTTTTACTTTCAATGAGACCGGAAACTTGCTGCCTTCATTGTTGGCTCAATGAGAGAGAGAGAATTGTTGTAAGAGGAGCGAAGTATGTTATTTTGTTATTACCTTATATACACAAGTCGCTGCCGACATGCATTCAAGCGAAGAGGGCGAGCAAGTGAGCTTTTGGGGAGCGTGAGAAGTGAATTTCCCTGGGGAGTGTGCAAAAGATCCTGTCGCAGACAGACAGAAGGGAATCAGAGACAGGACGAGCAGGAAAATGGAAGAAAGCGGAGCAGTGCAAGCAAGGATACACGAATAGTGAAGCAGCACACAGAAGTGCATGAGTGGATAAAAGACACGGTGAATGAGTTGGGATTTGTGAAAAAAGTGAAGCTGACTTAGTTTCAGCACTTGTGCGCCCCTCAGCATAAGCGGAACGTGCATGATTGGCGCTTTCAGAGGCGAGCAGCATTCGGACGAGAGTGAAAAGGCAAACTCCGCGAAGACAGGGACTTCTGAGAAGGTGTACCAAATGAAACGGAAAGTTGAGAAAAGTCTAGGCGAAATCGTGCCACGACAAATCCATTCAGCGCTCCCATTTCTCACCCAAATCAGATATGATGTGACTAAATTTGTATGGTTCTTATGGCTCTCGGACACGCGAATGTAGGGCGAGTGCTGGCCAGGTTCGCAATATGGCCAAGGAATGTGCATAGTTGTTGGAAATGTAAAATGCTCGATGCTGGGCGGTGCAATTAAAGTCTCAGAGATGGATAATGAGGCGGAAAGCCAGAGATGTGATGTCATGTCATAGAATCATGTTGCATTGGTCACTTTTGTCGAGCTCTTTCAGCACAGACGTCAATTTGGAGTGTTATTTGAAGAAATTACAAGGAAATTGAGGCTACTTCGCATTGATTGTGCGTTATTTAACCTCAGCACAGCACTAAAACTGAGTCTTTTGTAAATACATATTGTGTCAAAAGTTGCAATTGATTGGCAAGCATCAAACATAGGAAAATGCCGCTCTGTTGACATGAAGTCCATTTGTTGGCATTTTATATCTCTCTACAAAAGCTCCTTCCCTCAGCCATATTCGGTGTGTGGGGAAAAAAGAAGGAGTACCGAGTGAAATGAGAAGTAACACCAAAAATTACAAGAGTGAAAGGCATTATTTGCATGCTGACTTTTAACATCTCGCCTATGAAGTGCGCTGCACAAAATATCTCAAATGAATTGCATAATGGCCACAGTTGAGTGAATATGCCACACGATGTTGCACTGCTAGCCAATTTCAGCAAGTTTTTCTGTGTCTAATCAAGGTTTCTCAACCCCTACAGGAAGGGATTCTGGGTCTAATTTCTGATCAGAACATTCAATAATTCGTTTGCGTGTTGAAGCTGTAAAATTGAATGCTTTATCGCACATATATTTCCTCATACCTTCGACAGGTTTCAACTGCAAATCACCTTCACTCTGCCAGAGAATTTGCAACCAGGCAATATCAGTAGTTTTCGAGTCTTTCACATCAAAGCCATTCACTTAATTGAATTAGTGGGTGAGGAGTAGATAAACTGCGCTAAAAGTGGTTTTAATTTGTCGGAAAAGTGCAACGGTGTGAAGAAGTGCTGCATGAAAGGTTGGACAAGATAGATTGCATTGTGAAATACTGCAAGGCTGATGAAGAAGACGAGAGAGATTGGCGAGAGTCACTTAAAAGATTAACATCATATGAACTTTGAGAGGTGGCAAAGTGAATATTATAATGTTTAGCGATGTTTTCCGCATGGTTAGGAAATTCGACGCTCTGACAAATATATACTTTTCTGAAAGATTTTAAAGTCTAGAATGATATTCTGATGTTTCAAAGAATGCTTTTGCATTGTTATAGAAAGATTAAGAGATGTATTTTGAGATTATAATTAAAAAAAAATTCATGCGAAACTTCAACTGTGCTTTTCAAGCACAGCAACAATTAAGCGCTCTGACAAACATATACTTTTCTGAAAGCTTATTAAGTCTACTTAATGGCTAGTTAGTTGCTGAGTTGGTTGCCCCTTGTTTCATTTAGAGAAATACCATCAAGTTGTTGGGCAAGAAAACTGTGAATTATTATTGATTGACCAAATTTACCGCAGGTAGAAAATGTCATCTTCGACTATTGTGTCGCCAAAGGAGCTCCTCATCGTCCAATTGCATTATCTTCCCCCCTTTTTTGGCAGCTCACGCAATTACAGCCAAAAGCGAATGGCATTTGCCGCGTGTATTGTAATTCACGACAAACATTGCCCGAACGATACGTCAAGTGGGAAGTGGCAATGAACGGCGGCTCACTGATTTCAATGACAAGACACAAGAAATAATAGTAATGAAGTACAGTTTAACTGAAAATGCCACCGGCTGAAGTAAAAGTGAATTAAACAACGCTAATGATTGACTGGCAATAGATATGAATAATAAGTTGGACGAATACGGCAAGTCAAAAACTCGCTTCTTGACTTCGCGGTCTCTGTTGTTTTTTTTTGCGCCTGGCATTCAAGAAGCTCTTCTGTCTTGAGGCTGAGCCTCGCGGAGTTTGCTGAATAAGCAGCTCTTGACTCATCGCGAGCTTCCTCAAATATTCAACAATTTACATTCGTCTGTTTTGACCCTTGACACCTGTCTTCTGTGGACAATACGATAAGATAGACTACCCGAAAAGATAGCGACCAGCAGACAATTATTCAGTGTTTTGACGATCATGTCTAGCGCTTTTCCGATTATGAATAACATATGCAAATGACTGTGGCGGATACACTATAAGCAGTCCCTATTTTTTGCGATGCTGTGACAAATATCCATAAATCACACCTTTGCCGATCGCGATGTGAACCGCGAAAATCACAAACCAAAAACCTCTCATCATGAATTCCCAACGCACGCTCGCGATGCGCAGTTGCTCAGGTGACAAAACCAGATGGCAAATGACGGCTTTATGCAAATGCTAAAGCCCCATTTTTCAGTTTCACCCTTCCGGTTGGCTTCCGAAGAGAGTCTCTGTGTGCATTCCTTCGCAAGTCTGACCTCTGGGCTAATTGAGAAGCACCCCAAGGTTGATTTTGCATTGTTTTCTTCGGGAAACTTACGATCTCTTCCACCACTTTCTGATGCTAACTGCCAATATTTTGCACTATTCATGGATGTTTTTTTTTTTCGTTGAATTGGAAAACTGAACGAGGAAATGGTCAATTACAAGTTAGAATTTATTAGAAAAGTTTAAACATCGGAAGATCATTAGAACATGATTGATGAAATGATGCAGTTGTTATTGATGCACACAATAATTTTCTATTCTTCCTCAGACATATCTACAAATACTTCCTTGGATTGTCTGAGGATCTTTCCTCTGTGTCTCAAACTCTAGGGCGTGAATACAATTTACAAGCCCACAATTCCCATTTTCCACGATGGTTTGCATGAGGAAAAAAGCCGGCCTCAAGGTTGCACATTGTCGATGTTTTTCCTCTCTGTCAAAGCAATTTTGCCCACCGTTTTATGCCACATTCGCGGGCGCGCGCGCAGATCTCTTTCGACATGGCAGAGAACTTAAGGAACCAATTAAGTCAAAGCACTCAACTATGCCCAAACACGAAGAGATGCGCCAAGTAATTGGCCATTATTGTTATTGCTAAATTCAAGCACGCGATTTTCTCGCTACTTTTTTTTCAAAGGCAAACCAATTGTCGGACAAAACTTTGCATTGCTTTCAGGCATTTTTCCTATATATTCCCGCACTATTATTGGACTTCTTTTTTTGTTGTTGTTGTCTGCCAACCCAATAAATTGTCGAGTGTGAAATGGGATTCTTCACGGGAAAATGCAGCATTTTTCCCCCCAGCAGAAAAGAATGACCGCTGAATTGCCCACTTTGAGTGGGAAGTGAATTTTTACACTGTCAAAAGCATATTGTTTACCAAATTGTCCTTCATGGCAATTTAAGTCAGGCACTTTAATTGCATTTTGGGCAGTCTTTCTTGTGTGTGGCGTGAAAAGAATGCCTTTTTTTTAAATACCTTTTCTCTCCCCAGAAGTGCTAAAAGTGACAAACTTACCCTTGAAATAATAATGCCAGCAATGCTGATCCGAATGCGCGGCCCCTTCAGTAGGCGATAACGCAAGTCAACACCATTCCAGAATGACACAAAATACCGCTTTACCTGTCAAAATGTGGGAGAAGAAGGAAATTGTGATCAGTTTTCGTGTGTGTCGACCAGCAAAAAAATCCCTCAGCAATTTGCCATTGGAGAGCATTGGAGAAAAAAAAAGTCAATTGGAATTCGATTTTGTGTCTTACAATTGCTAAATTGAAATATTAAATAGAATGAGAGATGTGAACTCGCCAGGTCAGTCGAAAATACACTTGAACTGCCTTTTTCCTTGTCACTCCAACTGTGGCTTCCAGTGGTGCCCTCTTTTTTTTTTATTGCTTGACGCGATAAGTTTCACTGGATCATGACAAATTTGTCGGTCACCATAGAAAATTGCTGTCAATTAGCAAGCAATTTGTGTGATAATATTTTATTTTTAAACATATAAAATGTCATTCATTCATTATGATCTTTTTATCTTAAGGGCCTTGGAATTCAATGAGAAATCGATGCAAGTGCAAATGATTATCGCAGAGTGCTCGGAAATTGAGATTTATGACTGCATTTCTTGATTCAGCTATAAAATTACCAACTGTTTAAAAAAAAATACAAAGTTTTACAAAATATTTCAAAAATAACTGATTTGCTACGGAAAATTATCTTCATTATCGCTTTTATGTGAAGAAGAAGTATAAAACAGTCTTGTTTATATGCATCAAAATTACTTTTCAAACCATTTTCAAGCTCCATTTGGGAAACCTATTAAAATTCATTCAGTTCAATAGCTAAATGCGGCAACAATTTGAAGAGAAGCTATATAAAATGACGTTTTTGTAGTGCAGAAAAGCCTCTTTTCTCACACGATCAATTCACGTGTATTTTGTCTTATGCAATACAAACCAAACTATTAAACCTCAACCTGACTGTTTTACGAGTTCACTGGTGGCCGAATGCAGTCGTCGCGTCTGTGGACGAATTGTGTGTTCCCATTTGACTTTTTCCCCCTTAACAAATTATCACGACACTGCCTGAAGGCTTCCTCCATTCACGTTTTGTCGGAATTTCTTTGGCAGACACTTTCGTTTTCATCTGGATTTCCACAAATCCACATTTGAAAGTTCACCAAGGTTTCCTCTCTGTGTGAGGATTTCCTGTGGTGCAAATTGTTGTGCTTACTTGGACGTTGTCTCCGCCATGTAACCGATAACCATCGTGATCGACAATGACGAGAATCTCAGGATAAATTATGTGTGGCACAGCCCTTTTGGCGCGTCCTGACCGCGTGAAGTTCAGATAGTCTCCTCGTCTGAAGCGCTTCTGCAACCGATCAGGCTCCATATACGCTGCAAATAATCATTGTTAGTCAACAGTTTGCCTTCTCTTTGTGTTCCAGCGAACACAAAATGCTTTGATTTCCGAGTTGAGCTAAAATATATTTGCTTAAGAGACAATTTGCACTCACCGAAATCACTCAATTGATCCATAGGATCAGAATATCTTTTGTAGACAACGTGTTGAACACTTGAACTATTCTGTGGAGATGCAAATTCCGCTGGCAGTGGACGAATTACCAGTTCATGACCAATACTTCCCTCCTGGAAAGAGACAAAGCGGTGAAAAAAAAAATCCATTAGCACGTCGCAATGAATATGGAGCAAAACGATTTCGCAATATCTGCTTAATGCATTTTCCACCCACACTCAATCTTCATGCGATTGTTGGCCGCGTGTCGCTCTTTCCCGAGCATTCTTGAGTCCCATAATGCACCCAATGTGGTAACAATCACGTACCATGGCGAGTGCTCGAAACCGGAATAATATCGAGGTGATATAATTATGGTAAATACATTTTGGTATAATTTCCACCATCGAAATTCCACACAATTGTTCAATGATTAGTTTGAGAGACAGAGAGAGAGGGAGAAATTCTCCATCCAAGTCCTTCACCGGCGAACTCCGTGAGTTTGATGACATTTCGCTTGACCCACAAAGAGAAGACAATCATTGGTAATTGCAATTTACACTTGGCGAGCAACAGCTGATGACGCTGTGCATGGCAAAAAAGTAAGAGCGCGCGCGGGAAAAGTAAAAGTGTCTGTTATGTGCGGTCTAAGAGATATCAAATTACTTGCAATCAGTTCTTGCTCGCATTTATACTGTTGGCAAACCATTTCTTTTCTCTCTCACCGCAGTGGCATTTCATTTAATCGCGCACTTTTGCCAATAAACTTTATTTATATTGCCACAGCGCCAGAGCTTTTTCCTCCTTAGATTGCGGATTCTTGGGTGGTTTATATTGGCTTAGCATATTTCACAGGCGACATAGAGTTGATCGACCGTTGGATAAGAGGTCGCAATTCGTGGGCGAAAGTGTTTAAGACATTGTGTCTTTCATTACAAATTTATTCCGTGATAAACATGAAATGAGAGACAAATCTTATTCACTCAATTTGAACACTTTAGCAAGAAGTCAAAGCATTAGTAAATGCCACTGGAAGACAATCGTGAGGCTCTTCTTAATGTCGTGCAACGCATTCCTATCAAATTGATGATGTTGAGCAATGGAGCTTCTTTAAGAAACACTTCCAATTCATTGTCTTCCAGCAACAACTCTTAATCACATCCGAAATTGCGAAGAAAGTCGAGTGAAGAGAAGTGGAAAACTTGACCAAGAGTCACGCTCAAGAGACTCAGAGAGGCCTCTTCATTGTTTTACCAATGTTCATCTCTCGCTGAAGACGGCAAAATTGCCACCTTGACCGAATTTTCGGTGCACCTAAACAGCCATGCTAAAGACATGCTAAATGGTTCAAGAATTCCCTCGGCTTCTTACAAAACTGACGATGTGTGCATCAATGTGCCGAGACATTTGCATGGCATGAATGGCGAATGATGAATAGATGAGAATTTGGTATTTCAATCAGCATCTTGGAGGATGAGAATTTGCTGCGCGCTCTTTAATTCACCATTAATCGATCAATGATATTCCGTCAATTAAGCTGTGCCCAAAAGTAGTCTACCTTCACGGTTTTTTTTCTCTCTCGATATTAATCTGGCCACTTTCATGTTACGTGATTCGTTGAAGTACAAATTAACTCAGATGGTGGCCTCAAATACCAAATTGAAATGTCTTCACCGCATTAAAATCTGCACTTGGGATTCCACACGGCGGAAATCATGCCATTGTTGGCCACCTTTTCCCTCTTCATTCTGATGGAAATTCACACTCTAAATTACACTTTCGATTTCGCCGAGAGATGAACTCGCCGCGCTCGAGAATGAAGCAATTAAGACCCCCGCGCACTACACTGACGCGCCGTGGAATTGGGACACTTCGGCCTAAAGTGGGTGACGCTCCGCGATAAGTAGCTTAACTCGGGCCAATCAACAGGTTATTTTCGGTAAATTGCGATTATCATTTTGAATTTAAACTCACTTGAGGGGCTTTTGCCCTGATTCGACAGAAAGGCGACACAGTGAAATATATGAATTTACTCGCATATTGAATTTTGTGCGTAATTCTTTAATTCATGGATGAATTCGACTGAATTAAATACAAACAACTCCAGATTAATCTGTGTTATTTAATCCACACAGAGCGCAATTAATAAATCTGCGAAGATTATAGTTGGCAAAAGAGCTTTCGGTGAAATTTAAGTATGACATTGGTGTCAGAAATGGGTTAAATTTTCGTTTATTTGCATTTTGAGGTGTTAAGAGAACGATTTTGTTGCCTTAAATTGGACAAATTGTTTAACATTCCTGAAAAGTCCTACAAAAGCAAGATAATTCTATTAGTGCATCCCACTTCTGACACCAGTGCTTAACACGAAAAAGCATCAATTGGTAGCAGACAATGTGGCTGTGATTAATGGCTTTCTAAAATCGCTCAATGTCAAGTGCATAATCTTTTCTTTAAAACTATAAGTATATTAAGTGATTACTGAATTCGAACAGCAATTAATCCTATTTGCGGAAGGTCAACAATCTGAGTGTGGATGTTGGTGAAAAGTGTTCCTAGACTTCTGCTGCGCTCTGTGCTGTGGAATTTCTCACGCGCATAGAGTCACTCTGTGAACCATAAAATCACATGCAGATCACACTGGTCACTTCACACGGGCGGAGAAGAGCTCGACTTTCCTGCGGTGAGAGACTTAATGGGCGCCTAAGTGCTCATCAGTCATCTTCATTGCCATCCAATTAGCACAGCCGCGCGGCCCTAAATTGATTGTGACGCGGCGCAGTTGAGAAATTATGCAAACCATGTGTGAGATGCCATATCGCGAGGCGTATCTGAACCAAATGAAGTAATTTCGGATAAGACGACAAAAAAAAGCGGACAGACAGACAGTCAATGGAATGTGGGCTCTGCGGTGACTCTCTCGAAAAAGTCAAATGCGTTGTGTCGTTGGGCAAAAAGCGCCTCCACTGTTAGGTAACATTGCGTGGTGGGCAAAGGAAAAAAAGACGCACTCTCGAGTGGTCCATTGAGTGGTCTCTCTCTCGTTCTCCTATCATGGACATCACCGTGATCTTTCTCACTGGATTTCTTGCTCTGTTTTCCCACTGCACACGAATTTCCTCCCAATAAATTTTCCCGCCTTTGCCGCGATTCTGCCAGTTTAACGGCAGAAGTGAGACAGAGAGAGAAAACAACTCTGCGCGCGGGTAAAAAGCAAGAGTTTTTCCCAAGCGAAGGAGAAAGTCGAACACTTTTAGTCCACGAAGTCTTGGTCAGACCAACACAAACTCTGCGCACCGCAAGAAGTCAATGAGATTAAACTTTGGGGCCAATAGAAGATCGTGTGCAAAAAGCGTGTAACAGAATGCAACACTTGTCAGCACGATTTTACCATCTCAAAAATATTTCATATTACATAAAAATTCACAATAGAATTCATTGGCGTTAAATTAAATTTTTACACGTGTATCGAGAGCCGCACACTGAGAAAAAACCACCGCCGCGAATGCGCATAATATGGCATAATTTGTTTTATAAGGCAAAAGACAATCGTGGAGGCAATTTTTTCTCTCACTTTGGCCACAATGTCGAAATTGCAAGTGAGATAATTCATGTGACTTGAAATATACATTTTGCTTGTGCACAATTTTTATTGGTGACTGTTTTTTTTTTTGCCCACCACGAACAGCAACAAATGAATTTCCTTCTGACCACACAATACGCGCGAAACTACTTTGAATTATTTGTTGTGCGCGAAGTGTGTGTTTTTTTCTCCTCTGTATCCACGAGATTGCAAAAGTTCATGGCAATAGAGGCGATTTATTGGAGAATATTAATAAATTGGAGTGCGCGCAAAAAAGAAATGGCAAATTGACTCTTGCAATTAGGCGTTTGTGTTAGTTTTTCTTATAGGTTACATTTTGTACATCGTTTGTACAATTGAATGCTTTTAAGTACACTTTCGGAATTGCCTTTGTGTTTAGGAAACAAATATTTAACACACTTACGCGAATTTGGATTAAATCAAGTTGAAATATTTCAACTTTATGTTCACACTGTGATGAAATACTAAACGACGTCTTGGAAATGTTTTTCACACCCTTAAGAAGTGCATCAATTGCAGCTGAATATGACTTAAGCTCCACCCACTCGTATGCTCCGCCCATTCTGAGGAGAATTTTGCATTCTTTCTTTTATTTAATAATAATAATAATAATAATAATAAATTTATTCTTCCTTCTTTTTCTTTTGTGTGCGGCTGCCGCCGGCTTCATTGCCGACCTCCCCGAGCAAACGGCAGAAAGCTCGGCTCTTCGGTCGTGTATGCCACTTGGGGGAAAAGTGTTAGTTACATATACAGGTTCACAGCCTTACAATTTAATAATTTAATAACTAACATTTCTGTTTTGAGGCCAGCGTGTCACAAATTAAGAGAAAAAGGAAGGAGTAGTGGGACAGCAAAACTCTAAGAGTTGAAGCGCTGCCCACGGGTTCAGTGGGATCGGGATACATGGAGGGAGAGGGACGAATATCAGCAATGCAATGGAAGAGAGATGCGAGTACGAGGTGAAAAATTTATGAGCAACGCGTAAAACAAAGAATAAGAGAGCACCAATATGAAAGGGGGGGATGCAGGTGGCTTCATCAACCAATCAGAGATCCGCGATCCTCCGGAACCAGTCCGTGGTCAATCCGCGTAGACAGATACTCTGACCAAAGATGGTCCACGAGTTTTCGCGAGAAACTGTGTTCACTCAGATCAGGCCGTCTCAAGTCTATAGGTAGGGCATTATACAACATTGGGGCGATGTAGGGATAAGACCTTTTTAGCAGCTCAAGTCTGGGCCTGGGAACAAGAGCAGGGATTCCATCCCTATACGGTCTTGTTCTGGCGGAGTTCAGATATCCCCCTCTTACAAAAAAGACCCGTAGCGTTCTGTACTTGAAAGTATAAGACAGTGGGAGGATATTGAGCTTGAAAAAGTCTGCAAACAACGATTCGCGCTTTGGTTTGCGCAACATCGCCCTCAAGGCGCTCCTCTGAGCTGTTCTGGCCGGTCCAATGTTCGATGCGCGGCCCCCTCCCCACACCAATAAACCATAGCGCAGGCGCGAGTCAATGCAGGCATTGTAGAAGGTGCGCGCAATGTTTGGCGGAACCAGACGGCGAATGTGGTACAGGCCGCTGATCGCAGGGAGTAGGCCATTTTTCAGTTTGACCGCGTGGCGCCCCCAGGTCAGTCCACTATCGAAGACCACCCCCAGATACGTGAATTCAGTGACAAAAGGGATAGTCAGATTGGATGGACAAGGCGCTCCACGACAAGTCCGGCAGCGAGATGTTATCTCCGTTGATAGCTCTCCGGAACGCGGCGGTAGGAAGCGCATTGCCCGCGATTTGCTGCTCAAGATCATGGAGTGCGCCGTCAGCCAGTCCCTCACAGCCTCCAGGTCCTCCCTCATATAGTCCTCTATGCCCGCCCACGATTCCCCTCTGTACAACAAGACCAAATCGTCTGCGTAGGCTATCAATTTACTATTCAGAGCTAGCGAGAGCAAGTCGTTTATGTAGATAACAAATAGCAAGGGGCCAAGAACTGTGCCCTGAGGGACCCCACGCGTCATGGCACGTGCGCCACTGAGTGCATCCCCCACCCTAACCATCTGAGTTCTGCCAGACAGGTACGAAGTGAAGAAGTCCAGAGCGACTCCCCTCACCCCCAGTCGCTCGAGTGCACCCAGTAGTGTGGCATGGCAGACCAGATCAAAGGCCTTGGTCAGGTCTAAGAAAATTGCCGCAGACTTGCTCCCAGCGTTGATGGTCTCGAAGATCTCGTTACAGACATAGAGCATTGCGTCTTCTGTATTAAAGCCATCCCTGAAACCGAACTGGGATCCATTTAGTGCGTTATTGCATTTTAAGAATCCGTTGAGGCGCGTTTTTATAAGTTTTTCAAAGATTTTCGAGAAAACAGAGAGCAGGGAGATCGGGCGATAGTTTCCGGCGTCCAAGACATCGCCTTTTTTGAAAATGGGTACCACCACTGCAGTTTTAAGATCATTGGGGTAGCACCCTTCCTCCATACAGCGGTTGAAAATCACCCTGAGGATGTCCACTATATACAGAGCAATTCTCTTGACGCAAGCTGCCGTAATTCCGTCAAAACCAGTTGACTTTTTCGCATCTAATCCATTTATGGTTTTCAATATCTCAAATCCAGTAATCGGAGTGAGAAACAGACTGTTTACTTGCTCTCTACGCGGACCAGGAGACTGCCCGCGCTCGTCAGCTCCACAGTTGGTACCCGCCACATTGATATTAACGAAGTGATTGTTCAAATGGTTGGCTATTTCGCTTGGCTCTTCAAGGATTGAATTGTTCGATTTTATTTTTGTAATCTCAACTTTTTTTTTCCCGCGGCCCAGGACTTCGTTAATAACCACCCACTGCCTTCTGCCATTCTTTCCCGCCATGCGTAGTTGGTTCTGATAGTAGCACGCTTTCTCCCTCTTCACTGCAAGTTCAACCCGCGTACGAGCGTCGCGGTATCTATTTCGCAAGCCGGAGTCACCTGGGCGTCTCTTCATCAGTCTATGAAGCTTATTTTTATGTCGCACGAGCTTCTGTAGGCCACTCGATATCCAAGGTTTCAATCTGCGATCCGCGCTTCTGCTCGCGCCTCGCACACTACACGCGCCGATCAAATCCCTCAACCTACCCAGGAAAGCGGAGAAGGCCTCTCCTGCGTCACCGCCTCTCAGTACTCCCGCCCACATTTCGTCCATCAGTAGCCCCCGAAGACGTTCGTGATCAACAGAGAATATGTCGCGGTCACGAGTCGCGATGCGACCCACCCTAGTGCCCACTACGCTCATACTGATCATCGCGTGATCCGAAATCCCGACATTCTCAACACAGCAGATATTGTTGTAATTGCCCACTTTGTTTCTCGCAATAATGTTGTCAATGCATGTTGCACCATGTGTCCCGTATCTAGTGCCCTCATTTATAAGGAGTTCAAAGCCAAAGGACGATACTAGGAACACAAAATCGTCAGCCTCAGTCGACTCATTGAGCGTATTTATATTGAAGTCTCCCAGGATATATATATTTTTCACATCGTCCATGGAGCACAATAGAGCCTCAAGCTCCGTCAGGAAACTTGCGACCGGTTGCGAATGGAATCGGTAGATACATACAAATGCGATTGTGTCCCCATTTACAGTGCAATCTAGGCACAAACCATCCGCTGATGCGAAGGACAAGCCCTCAGAGCGATTTACGGTCACGGATTGGTCGACAAAAGCCCCAACACCACCTGCCCTATAGTCATTGTTGCATTTGGTATGAAAAGAGTAGTTATTGACATTATACAGGTTCACCTCGTGATCTCTGATCCAAGTTTCAGTGACAAAAAGGATGTTAGGTTTAGCGGGAAGGGATGATACGTGGGTGATGAAACGATCGAAATTTGCACGGAGGCTACGAATATTTTGTACAATAATTTTCAAATTATGAGCATTTACTGATTGAAGATCATTCATGTTTATCTAATATATGAGTAAAAAGAGAAAAAAAAAAAAAATATAGAAAGAAAAGAGAAAAGAAAAGAAAATTCAGAAATATCACACTTAAGCACTAAAGTCAAAAATTAGTTATTTAAGAGTTGCAAAAAATACTGATTGGAAAAAATGAATGTTGATTGGGTACAATTGACTGTGAACCAGTAACTAAACAAAGGGCTTTTGCCTGTGATTCACAGTGTTTAATGGGCTTTTTGACTTCACACACTTCAATGTCTCTAATGGAAAGCATAAAAAAGCGGGAATTCGACGTGGAAATTCTTCGGTGATTTCTTGTCAAAAAGCAATATTTCACCTTAATTAATTCTATCTCGCATCTGTGCCTAATTCAGAATTCCCAACAGTTTAATAAAAGATAGTGTCACTCACTCGTGGCAGCATAAAAGAACCCTTAATTGATTTCCTCTCTATGCTCAATCTGTCAAAGAGTCGCCCCCTAAATGGAAATTGCAGAAAAACTCGCTCTGAGGCGTGAAATGTTTCCCAATTTGAATAATCCGGGTTTGTCTTCGCATGCTGACTTATGGGTGCGATTGTACGACCACAAGCAGCGTTCAATTAATGAGTTTAACAGTGAAAATCAATACGTTGATCACGAGGAAATCCTCATTGACATGCTTTTAGGGGATTTTGCCTAAAGAAAAAAAAAACTCACCATTATAAGATCTCCGGTCTCCAATTGTCTCCGCATGAGAATAGCTGCCATGTTGCTTTCATCCTGGAAAACGTGACCAACTTCCTCCTGTGGCACCTCGTCCTGTGGCGATTTGGAGAGGAAAAAAAAGTCAGTTAATGTGCAAAGCGCTGGTCGAAATTCAATGATATATCGATAATATGCGAAGAAATGTGTGCAATTCATGCGAACTGTGAACATTCATCGGCGGTAATCGAGTGAAACAGAGCTGTGATTTATTCTGTACACTTCCTCGTATTGCGGGAGTTTGAGTACAAATGCAGGGGGAAGATAATATGCCTTAAATCTGTACACCACTTCCTGGACACTTCCAAAAAAAATGCCTTATGGAGTTTTAAGACTTTTTCCACGCTTTAAAATATCACAAAAAGATACAGATTGTAGAGAAAATCTCGTCTAAGCTGTACAACAATTCGGATTGTAATATCTTCCCCTTGTTGAGCGCCGACGTCTTCATCTACTCAATAAACACTTCTTGTTGATATTCTTGCTCGATAAATTATGGGAATCAATATGCAAGAAAGTGCAGGATTTGTGGCATAATTAAGCAAATGGGGGCGAGCGATTAATAATGCAAATACATGTCACTAATAGGACATGTAATGAGGAATGCTGTTCGCACTGTTGCAACAAAGTATTTGGGCGGTATTGCGATAATTCTGATAAAGTGTTCGAAAGCGAAGATGCTGTGTTTTTTCTCGGCTCGCAAAGTGGTTTTTCTTCTTCTTCTCTAACAGTATTAATTGACCACATGTTGAGGAAATCCTTGAGAGTTTGTTTACTCTCAAAATATCACTAAAGCCGAATTACTCACGTGGTGGCGGTGTGAAATGATACCGCGCTCGGTGAAATATTGGTGAGAAGAAGAAGAAGAAGACGAAGACGCTTTTCTGATGCCAAAAATAGATGCGCGAACGCAAAAAAAAAGTCCGCACATAAATTATTAAAATGTGGAGAGAAGGTTTTGAAAACATCATATTTTGCCAGGTATATTCTTCAATCAGCAAAACGCACCCACTTTTGCCACCATCCCAAAAGGCAATCAATCAAGGAGAAGAGATTATAATCGCGATGAAGATTGTTGCGTTTCCGCGCGTGAAAGATTGACTGCAAAACTTTCAATTTTTCATACAGTGAAGACATCACACTTTTACAATTCGCGTGTGAATTTCTTGTCAGAACACTTCTGAGCGCATTTTACTACACCAGCAATCCGGCAATCTGTGCACATTCTCGCTATGATGAAATGTAAATTGGAGCTTTTCCACCATTTTTGCCCAAGACTTAATCGGTTCAGTAAATATTTAGCATTTCATGTGAACAATTACCTCACACTCTCGACTAATTTTCTTTGAAGGTTTTTGAGCCACGGCGCAACAATGGCTGCGAGTAATGCAAAATGAATTTCCTTGTCTATCGTGAAAGTTTCCAGTCAATCTCGCATTTTGCCTCGCGAGAAGCCCCAGAAGAAATGACGCTGATACATTTTATCGTATGCAGCAAAAACTTCCTGGATATCTCGAGCTGTGCTCGGAATTGGACTTTCTTCTGGGATAAAGACCAGATCATTAGGTCGTTCGCGGGCGTTTATCAGGTGAACAAGTGCGCCCTTCACTTTCCATTTCCATCACGCTTCGGGGCGAAAGGGTGTGGAAATTCAGGGATGGGCGAATTGATTACACTTGCTGTAGAAAAGCGTGGGATGAGTTGATATTCACAATTCAATTGTATTTTTGCTGACTGCGAAAATAGGCGAAATTCAATAAACTCGAATATGTGGATAAATACACTGGAAAAAACTGTGTGGCAATGAATTTCATCCGAGCTTTCACACAATTTCCCAATGCCTTAAAAGCTTTCTTACCATTTTTATGGTAATTATTACTAGACAAAATATTTAAAAACAAAATTATTTATAGATTTATGATGATGAAGTTTATTTTGAAGGCAAATATTGGAATTTTTACCATAATTTATGAAGAATTTCAGTTTTAGTTCTTCAAAGTTAACGCTTTCCAAACAATATTGTAATTCTTGAATCTCAACTTTTCCTTTACTGTAAGATTTTGGAGAGTATTTGTAGGATTTTGGCACTTTTTGCAACTGCAATCTAGATTTTGGGGCTCCAAATGTGTCTCTTTCAGAAACTCTTGCAAGACTCTATAATTTCTGTTGTTCTAGCAATTTTTTTGCACATCAAACAAGAGCGCCAACAAAAGCACAACTGTTCGCAGTGACGCTGAAAGTCTGTGCAATTCTGCAGTCGAGAAATATGCAGATTAGTGAGACAATTCCTTACGCCACGTCCATTGCACAGCAAGTGACGAAAATCGCTTTGTGCACCTCAAAGAATTGTTTGTTTCTCACAAACAATGTCTTGAAAAACACCTTCACGAGTCTCTCCCCCGTTTTTTTTTTCGACCACCTTTCCAAAACCGATCGCGCCCGATATCGTGAATGGAGAGTGAAATAATAAAAGTGAGAACCTTGTGCCAGACTTCTGCCATATATTTATTTGCATAACTCGATTTTTCAAAAGACCTCTTCTAAGCGCACACCCAAAGAGCGCGCCAAAATGACTCTGATTCACATCTCTTTGCCAAAGCGGGTTTTTTTTCGGCTAAAGTTCAGGCCATCGAGTTAACCCTTCGCCGTGCCGAAGGCACAAAGGCGGCCAATTTGCGGAGGGCCGTTGAAAACAGTGGCAGAGCAGAGAAAGGAAGAAAAAATGGAATTCACGTCAATTGTTGTTTGCATGGAGTAATATTTGCCGGAGAGTGCAAAGTTTCCGTTCTACTAACGATAAAAATGTACACAATGAAAAGTGAATTGCTGGCATTGCTGAAATGTCTTGTTGTCCCGCTTTGGGAAGTTCAAATATACAACATTTTCGGCCCGCGCGAAGATGTTTGCTGCGCGCATTGCGTTTGTGAATGATGCGTTGGGAAATTGACTCACAAATATCAATTTAATGCGCAAGATTCACACGATAAACACCGCATACTTTGCCGTCAGTTCAAGTTGATCATTGCACAAGTTCATCGTCTTGCGAGAGAAGATCATCTTTGAGCATGATTTTGTGCCGAATTTCCCGTCGATGTTTTTTTTTTCTTCTTCTTCAACGAAAATGTTTTGCAATTCAGCTTCAACAACTTTGATGTGATCTCATTTTAGTGGCAAAGAATGACTATATATGATTTATTTATTACGCCCCTTTGTCACACTTCCTCAAAATTGTAATACAAGACAAGTGGAATGCATAATTCAATGTTTCTCATGTGTAATCAGTTCAAAGAAACACCTTTTCTGCTGCGGCATCGCAAAAAAAAAAACACAAACACACACAGCTTGACTGAATCTATTGAATGGGATTTATGTTGTGCTAAAAATTCAGCAGACAGCCACTTAAAAAATTGCAAATGTCGTTGGCAATTATCTGCTAATTACTTGAAAATTAATATGCCATTAATATTCCCTCCACGGGAAATCCAGGCGATTGTTTATGTCTGTGGCGACACAATAAAATTCACCCATTTCCATGCAAATAACAAATCAAGAGAGAAGCAAATGACTGGCGCAATTTTCATGTCATTTTCATCTCATTTCAATTGTCCACCGACAGATTTTCTGCTTTATGGCGACTCTCAATGAATTAATCATGCAACAAGAGACCCAGACAATTGATGTCCAGATGAACTTTGAGTGGCTGTACACTTTTTTCTCGGAATCGCGGTGAATCGTGGCTTTAATTGGTGACTTTGAGGTGAGGAAAAATTTAGGATTTCACTTTGATCGACGCAACAATTCGAGGAATTGATAATTGCAATGAATTAGTGAATTTTTCTCATTAATCAACTAAATGCGTTAACCCATGAAGGTTGAATGGTTTGATTTGCGTCCGATAAAGTTCAGGAGGAAGATCTAAAAACATCGTAAATGTTGACTGGAGTAAAATACAGTGAAAATTTGACAGAAAAACAATACTTTCTATCAGATAAAAGTGCTTAAATAGCGTTTTTAAATGGATTTTTTAATTCTAAAAGATGCTTCAATGGGTTTATTTATGTCCAAAAGCAAATGCGAAAGCCACTAATGTATTTTCAACTCAATATTATAATGAGATTTTGCTGAAGAATCTGGAGAAATTCGTCATGAAAATCGTAGAACATGAAATTCTCACTTAAGATAGGAAGAAAAGAAGGACACAAGATTTTCTTAAAACCCCATAAAGCTTCAGAATGCTCAAAAAAATGACTGAATTTCAACTCCTCAATGAGGAATCTCCAATGAAATTGATTCGCGAGTCGCACTGGAATGAAGTGCCAATAAATTATCGTGAATTGCGACTATAAAGTGACTTTGGAAACACATCTGGTTCATCTCGCTAGTCTGCCAATCATTGCGGGGCATTTGAATATTTCGTCATGCTCGCCTGCAAGAAGTGGCAAAGAGACTCGTATTGAAATGCAATTTATTATCCAATTGTGCGATCGCACATGTGGCAAGAATCGGTTTAGTGATTAAGAGAGGCGAAAAAAAAGTGGAGTACATACAAAATATTCTCTTTTCCAACTCGCGTGGTAACCTTGAACCACTTTTATTATGAAAAACGTCTCTCCAACTTGGCTCTCTCGCTGGAAAATTGACGTTGTGGCCATAAATTCAAGAAATGCTGCGCTCGCAAGAATTGTCCCAGCATGAAATGGTTTTGTGTGATGGAAAAGTTGACTACCAACCTGTGTAATTTCTTCATAGTTGAGACCTTGTGTGGCATTCGGGTCGGACTTGACGGACCACATCCGCAAGGATTGCGGCCCATCCTTGAACAGGCCCTCCGTGGGCTTCAGCTGAAGCTTCACATCCTCACCGAAGGCAGTGAACGACACTTTGTGCTCTTTCACGTCACTTAACTTAACGACACCGGGAATTTCATTACTAACACTGTTCCTATCTTCACTATCACTACGCTTGCCTGACGCCTTGGCGCCCAGGAAGGACGTCTTGCTTAGGTCCTTCTTCACGTGGTGCGGCAGCTGATTCGGCCCGCCGGCGTCCACGTGACGCCGCCGCACGTGATGGACGGACGGCGTGTGATGCGTGAGCTCCACCAGTTCGTAGTTTGGCACGTTGTCCGCGCTGTCCACGTGGAATATCGTGTGCAGCTGCTCTGGGGACATTTGCAGGTGTATCTGAAGGAGGAAGACAGAAGTTTTTGGTGAGAAACATCAATTGATTGCCATTTCTTATCATATTATCAAAATTCTTTCATGATTCCCAATGTGTTGAATCTATATAATTTCCACAGTTTTCTGAATTTCAAGTAAAAACAGATTTAATTGCCAAATAAATGCAAATTCCAGCTTAAAACTTATCTCTTGAGCTGCGCTTCAAGCAACTTGCTTGGCTATTTTGCCAACTCGGCGCCACATTTGCAGCGATAAAGCGACAGACTAACAATAAAAATGGCTCGCAAGCGATCCAGTATAACAATTGGCTAAAGAGTATAGGAACAGCCGAGAAGTGGTCATGCGATATGGATGGATTTCCAGTGTGACTTCTTTGACTTCTAAGAACATTGTCGCGCTGTAGATGACAAATCTCATTTAAATGTTGTCCATATCAATTAAAAAGGTCTTGATGAATGTCTCGCAAGTGACAACTAACGTGTCTTACAACATATTTATGTATATATGCCGCGAAAACAGTAAAGTCCGACCTTGAGGGACAAGTGTAGCATGGCTTGACTCATTGGAAGTAATATTTACTCACGTCCAAGTCATTTCAATTGCTCTGCATATGCCATCGAGTATCACAAATAATTGCAATGCAGAGTGGCACAATTGTTGCAGATTAGATGGCTGGAGGAGGTGGCAAAAAATGAGAGCCCGCGAAGTTGTTATTGTCCGCCAATTGCACAATTCGCCATCTGCAGCATTGAACTGCGCGCGCGAGTTCAAGATGTTTAGCATGCAGAGGAGCTCCTTTTTTCAATGGAACATAATAAAAATGTAACCAAATTGCGCCACGAAGACATTGAAAATAAGCGCCAATTGCGCAAATTCCCGGCCGAAAAATGACATCGTAAAGCCCAGGCAAACAATTAGCCATTTCGACAATTCACTGACACTGACCTGCTCTAATGAGAATTTCGGGCTGAATCGTTAAACGCACTTCTTGCGCGGCCAATTAGCTGCACGGAAGTGTTAATATTTTAATATTATGTGCCTTTTTGGTGGCCTGAGTGACATTGCTTGTGTATTACAGTTAGAAAATGGTCAATTTTCTGCACAAAATGCTTCTCAGTTGACCCAATTCTTCTCTTATGCGACCTTCTTCGCCTGGTATTTTATTCACATTTCAGCCCAGAATTGGAGTTAAGTGAGCGAAGAATTTAATGTGTGGACAACAAATGAGCTGTGAATAGGAAGAGTCATAAATACATATCAACTTGGGTGTGCTTTTTCCACCATCATTGGCGATTTATGGGCTGCTTAGCGCATGTTGCAATTGCTTAGGAATCACAGGGAGTCGCCTAACAATTCTCACAATAATATCCATCAATTTGATCTTGTATGGTTTCTGCAGTGGCAAATATTGCTCATAATACACTTGTGGAATCCCAAAAAGTGTGTGTATTCCATCATTTTCAACCACTCTCCGACCAGTGAGAAAGTTATCGAGTTACGAGTCACATTTTGGACATTTTCATACAAATTGATAATCACAGCGACACACTGAAACTTTATGTTCCGTGTCTGGGCCATTGCAAATGAGTACAACACGAATTTTAATCACCATCAAATTCAAATGACATTCAAATGCCGCCATTCATATTCACGACACACGACTGATCATCTTCTCAACGGGGAAATTGCGAGAAAATTCGCGATGCTTTTGCAGGGTTTCCTCGCTTTGCGAGCATTGAAATCTTTCGTCTCTTTGAGCTCACCAAGAATAAATAGCCTAAATAAACTACCAAAACAAATTTGAGATTTGTAATTTGTGGAATAATATGTATTATGTGATTTATTCAAAAGAAACATGAATGTAATAAATTTTCTTGGGCTAAAGAAAATTGTTTTAAACAGCTCATAAAATATTCCTTTGATAAACACAAGGATAAGCATCTCATTTTTAGGACTTTTAATGCGAATATTAAGCATATTTTTTTTTAAAGCAGTATTTTTTTTATTTCTCCATAACATTTTTGGAGTTATGTTTATATTCATAAAGTTCTATTAACATTCAAATATTCGTTTGCAAAAATTTGTTATAAATTTTCGCACAACCTAGAAATATGTAAGTGAATAAATACAATCTCCCCCTTGAAGCACACTTCGCTGGCTTAACTAACATCAAACTGTCCGTGTTATGTAATGTAATGTGTCGCTTTTCGGGAAAATTCTGTCAATCTATAACTCTTTTTTTCTCTCTCTCTCTCTCCTAAACCCAGCAATTTTTGCGACATAATATGCGCGAGTTGACAAAAAAATGAAAGCGTAGAGTAATCAATTTCTCATAATGTTGGATATATTCTTGGCCAAAAACAGGCGCACGAGACTCGATCCGTTGCGGACCACTAATCATGCATTATTGAGCATTTTGCAATGCTCTTTCCCATGGCATTCCCGCCGAAATGCGGTGGCTTTTTTGGGCGATGTATTGAAGTATATGCAATTATATTTGAAGTGTATAATAACTGTATTACGTTTTGAGTGACAATTCTATTGGGCAATAGTGAGGAGAGAAAGATTGTATCTATACTCACGTCTGGTGATGCTGAACATGTGCAGATGAGTGTCCATGTTGCCAGGAACAGTCCCAGATTCATCATTTTGTATTTGTCTGCAAAAGGAAGGCAACAAAGGCAAAAATTACCACACTTTGTCAATAGCAATGTGCTCACATGTGTCATTAATTTGTCCATTTCTGAACTGGATTATTTAATTGCGCGCGCTGTTACGCGACTATCAATTATGATGTAATGCGTAAGAATTTGAATTCTTAGCTTCGGCTTGACTTTCAAATTAGTATTTCTCTCTGACCGCTCAAGGGGAAAGTGTTTGAAATGCAATGCCTGGAAATCGTACACGATTTGTGCGATGACGTTCTGCACACTTGACGCACTTCAAGCGCTCTTCCCGACACACATCCATCACACGTCCTGACGCTGAGCATCTTGATAGGGGAAAAAATTGCGAAAAATCTCCATCTGTGATTGCCATTGTTTGCCGAAAAATGCGGAAAATAATCCGTGTGTGTAGATTTGTGCGCCTCTTCTGCGCATAAAGCAGATCTCGTTAGGAAGAGTTTCACCACTTGAGTGTTTATGCTTCACTTCCCGTGTCATGATTGTGGGAAGATTCGCAACGTGGCTTCTGCGCACGCCAGAAAGGGTTAAATATGAAATATGGCAGCCTTATCTCGATGGCATCAGAAAGTAATTCAGAGCTTATGAGCAAGGTCTCAATTTCAATTTATAATTTTCTCTCGATTGCAGAATATCCATTCATTGTGTAATGTCGCGAATAGTTTTTTTTTTTTTGCTGCTGCCTTTCTGCCATGTCTTTGCCCAACAACTGTAGACCAATTGTTATATTTTTGTGTGTTTTCTGGCCTCTCGTACGCGCACAGTGCAATTGATTTCGCAAGACACCTTGTAGGATTGTTCTTGAATATCATATTTTTCCTCATCAAACTGTGTGGCCAATTGTTATGCGATCGTGTGAGCATTTGAAATGGTATAAAATAGAGACTTTTGCACGTCGGAACTCAGGAAATCGAGCGAAGAATGGAGAAATACAGTCGGCAAATTGTAATAATGCCAATGGGGTTCCTCAACATCTTCACCTCCTCTGATTCCAAATGCAATAATTGTGCCTTTATGTGGGCAAATCACCCATTTCTGCCGTTAAAATCAATCCACATAACCTCTTTTTCAAACATCGCGCGCGCGTCTCACACATTAAATGCAATTAGGAAAGACTTTTTCGGTGTTCACAAGTGATTTGGAAAGGTTGATAGCAATATGTTAAAAATGCGCGTTGACTTTTTATGTCCACTTTAGCGCGCTCATTTTGTGATGCAATCCGAAAAATGACTATTAAAGGCTCTGAAGACATTTCATCTTTGTGGCTCCGCCAGAGTACTTGAAGATGCAACATTAATGGCAAAGATTGATGACTCTTAGAGAGTCAATAAATTATTCCTCTTTTTTTTGTGTGTGTTACAATTTCACAACTCCTATTATTGCTCATTGTCAGGTGGAGTCTATTAATGACGTGCATGGCCAAAAAACGAAGAAAAAAGATCAGGTATGCACTTTTTCCCGTAAACCCACATCGTAATTGAAGCTATTGTGCATTTATTTACTTATTCACGGCTAATGAATGGCTTCAGATGGATAATTTCGAGGCTTTATTTCAGCTCGAGAGCCGAAAAATATTATATAAATTAATTATGGGCATTGCATAAAATCACACTGACTGATAATGTTCCGGGGGGATTTAATATGGTGGCGAAAAAGTATATTTTTGAATCTTATTCTGCGTGCAGAAAATGAAAGTATGACGGCTAAATTAATTTTTATTGAAATGTTAAACAACAATGCTAATGTAATGATGATTTATCTGTAGTCTAAACGCGTTGGACGTAACAATTTATTGCATATGACGCTCAAATTCTTACTGAAAGCGCCGCTTTTCCAGCTCAACAACACTTCAAAAGCCACAATTTGAGGACTGAAACATTGTAATTTGCACTGTATTGATGGATTTTACTGATTTTTTCCGCTAATTTATGACATATTCTGAAGATTTCGCCCATCTTAGAGCTCTTCATTGCATGCGCAGAGTTCCCTTTTTGGGAAACTAAACACACCATCAAGGTCGCTGAATAGACACACGTAATCTCCCAATGTGTACAGAGAGTCAAATTCACTTTCAACTCAAGTCATCTCTTCTCAACCTTATCGATGGAAACTCGCATGGCAATTTGTGGCACCGCGACTCGATTTGCAGGAAGTAAACAACATCGCAATGTTCCGGTCGAACTTAAGACCATTGAGATTCATCGCGTTAAGGCAAAGAGTGACATTTTTTCGGGGAAAAGTCGCTCTGGTCACAGCAAATGAACACATCAAGTCACCATTTTCCCTTTCTTCTGGCCACTTTGGAGTTTTCTTAACGCCCATGTGCCAGAGAAGTGAAAAGGAGAATCGCGTTTTGCTTTGCTGAACGCGTCAAAGTCAGTGGTGTTGAAAGAGAAAATTCTGTGATTTTGTGGATTTTCGCGGTATTTGTGCGCGCGCCGACTTTCGAGGTCTCTTATGCCAATTAACTGCCATTGCATGTTGTGTGTCTGTGCGGACTTTTCTCAGTGGCAGAAGAGAGAGAGAGAGATATAGACAATAAAATGCAGAGGAGAGTATGAATTGAGGCAATTTCAAATGAGATTTGTCTTTGCGATGGGCATGATTCTCAAATGAAAGTGAAACTCCTGCGCCATTGAGCGCCTATTGTTGCTCTGACGACTGACTTAAATGCAGGCAAATGGAACTTATTATAACACCATAAATATAGAGGCACATCATAAAATTGTGTCATCGGCAGACACTCTGCGCTAGACAAACTCTTGCCGCACAAAAACGCTTTAAACACACACACACAGTCTTGCCTCAAAATTTGCATATATTTTCCAATCGACTTCATCCCAATTCACACCCACTCGTCGCTTTGGCGCGCTCTTTTTCTTCGAGAAAATGCACGCGGCTCTTATCCGAATGTAGAACAGCTGCGTCATGCCCAAGTACAATGGGTGAAAAGCTCTGGAATGTGGGCCCATTAATCGATCACAGCCGAAATGATTGCAACACTGCGGCAATGTTGACAAATTCTCATTTTTGCACAATTACACTGGTGGATATTCAAATATGACCCAATTAATTGAGACAATCCGAATTTGAGCTAATGTCCCTCTTGCCGCAATATTAATTTATCATCACGAAATGTGGAGCATTCGATTTACAGTGCGACTCGATGAGAAAATCACTCAATTGATTCGTTCAGAGATTGCAAGCTGGGAGAGAAATGATTTATAGAGGCACGATTTTTAAATTGAGCGATAAAATCTTGCAGGGTGAATAGCGATTATGTCTCGGAAATTGAGAAATTGTGAAAAATGCCGCAGTGGCGCTACGCTATAAGGCGGAGCATCCTTGTGGGCGGAGCTTCAAGACTCTGTCATGTGATGAGTTTAAATGTCTCGCTAGTTCACGAGCTGTTAAACTTAAGTCTTTGATGTCTTTGAGGGAGTTTTAGAGAATTTAATAAGCTTTCTGAAGTGGTCAAAATTTTTAAAATCGCGTGAAAATTGCGACTTTGGCAGCAGATTTAAAACTTATGTCGCACATTTTGCGATTACCTAACGAATCGTACTTTTTTAAACTATGCTCAACCGCTAAATAACAACCGTTTTTGGAGTGAACAATCAGTCTCGGTGTGTTTCTTCCAAAAAGCCACCTTCGAAATCACATAGCGAAAGATCATCAATAACGCAGCCTTTCCCACTTTGTCACAATACACCCAAATCGTGATACTCTTTCTCACACGATGAATCCATCATTGAGAGAATGGTTTTGCTAATTTCTTCTTATTTACCCGTGATGTAATGTGAAGAATTAAAAATACCACACAGGTTTTCTTCTTTATTACCTAACAAGAAATGACATCAATGCTTCTTCTCTTCTTGTTTTAATGTATTCCGTTCTGTCACTTCTTATGTAGTAAAAATTATTCAATATTCATCGTCAACTCCATTGATACTCGATTGCGGATTGGCATAATGTACACACATTGGGAATAATGTGTATAAAATGTATCCTCTTTGGTGGCTGAGAGCGCTCGTCTTTTTCCAATCTGGGTGATAATCTCTGGCCAGAGACTCTATCTAATCATAGAGTACAATTTGTGATGACGAAGGTTGAAACCTTCTGAGAGATTAATAAGTGCAATTAATCATGTTTCACTTGCCCTTCCTGGGAGGATTTCTTGGGAAGTGTCATGAGTGCTTTCTCACCCTCGATCGCATCGATCGTGATTAATGTCAGCCAAGAGATCATCTTTTGATGCATCTCGATTTGATGATTCCTTGAGCGTTTCACGCTTAACACTTAATTGCGGCGAATGTTTTTTTTTTAATTTCTTGTATTCAATTCATTATTGGCTTTTCTGCGAAATGTGAGTCAATCGAAATGAGGCACTTAAGTGCGTATTTTCATGAATGATCAAAGGAAGACTGGCGGAAAAGTATTTTTCCAGGTAATTGAGAGCGACAGACTTTCAGCCCACTTTTGAGGTGGAATTTAACAACTTATTTTCGCTCTTTAAGCAGCCAAATTTCGTCAAATGACCAGAGTTTATTGGATAATTTTGTAAAAGTGTGTCCAATTCGCGATCTCTCCTCAAAATTTCTTGCCCCATAAAGGGCAGTGATTTGGTCAAACGCCCAAACTTTCGTGTCTCTGTCCATATTGCTGCGCGCGCGCGCGAGCTCGCACCTCTTAAACTGGAGTATCGAGTTAATCAGCAATTTTTCTCGTCTCACGGCACGTGCAAATATTGCCAATGCACATTTCCTCCATCCCCAACTGGACAACATAAATTGGAGCCCGCGAGAGCGAAGAAATGGCGCCAGTTGGGACTGTTTTTGCCCGAATGCACGATGAAATCTCTCCGAAGCCAAACCAGACGCCAAAAGCATGTATGCAAAAAGGAGCGACAGAAGTGAGATCACGACTTGCAGACCCAGAGTCCAGATTGCATAATTTTGAATGCGAAACGTGTTTCTCATGTTTGGCTTTTAAATATCTCAACTCGCGACGCGATGGTTCTCATTTCTCTTTCATCTCTGGTGTGTGCAAAAGAGTTTCACATATTCATATAAATTTTCAATCGCGCGACGCGATTTCAATTGATCAATTTTCATAAAATTCAACTTCGCAAGAATGATCGTCTTTTCTTCTTCTCTCTCTCTCACGCCTCTCAACACCGCACCGAAAATGCGTGCATCTCTGCGGCGAAAGAAGTTCATTATGCTGACCCTCGATCGAGATAGTTGGCGAGATTAAGAAATGGGAGGGGAAAAAAACTATAATCCTCAGATGTTTTGCAAGCATTCGATGTCACTGGCACTCAGTCAATTTTCTCTCATCCAACAAGATCGAAAGTGATCTTCAGCGATCGTGATTTCTTCATATCTCTGCGCGCTGTTTTAATTTTATGCGATCGCCAAGTCATCAGCTCAGAGCCTCTTTTTTATTTTTGAGAGTGTCTAAGAAGATTCAGGGTGAAATGAGCGCGATCTCTGCAATATGTCACTATAATTAATTTTCTCAATTGAGATCACTATCGAACCAGTGAAGATCGCGTGAACTTCTGTCAAATCACAATAAGATCGCGCTCAAGATCACATGATAAAGAGCCACGACTTTTTGACTTGCGCGCATAGTAAGGAAATTGTTCGAAATGGAGATTTTACGATAATGACTCTTCTTGGCTAAAAGCTTTAAGTGCGCGCGCAGTTTTTCGCGATCTACCCGGAAACTTGAGCCTCAAGGGTTATAAATTGTGGTGGCAAAAAGCCTCCTTTTGCGACACTCTCTCTCTGATGGTCGTCTTATGAATAAATCTCCAATTGTAATCAATCCCGCGGGAATTGCTCGCGAAATCATTTCTGAATAATGCATGTGTGAATCTTACCTTTGCAACTGGTTAACTTTGTCATTTAATTAAGCCACTGAAAATCCCGAAACTGCATCCATTCAGGAGATCTTGCGATGATTCAATCCTTGGCCTTATTGTGGGGGGCTCTTTTTGTTTTGATCGGGCGACAGAAAAACCCTGTCTTTTGCTGGGGTCTAGAGCAAGAGTTTTTCACGCACAAGAGTTTTTCCAAGCGCGCGCACACCGAGTGTTATTTGGAGAAGGAATTGAAGAGTGTTTAGGCAAGTTTGTCCGGGGGGAAAAAACCTCACAAGTGTATACGATTGTTGTGGTGTTAATGGTATTGGATATATGACTCTTAAAGAGTGTGTTGTGAAAGAAAAGGCACAAGTCTTGGCATTTGCAGTTGTGAGGTGGCTTTTTCTTGTATTCGGGCACCGTATAAAAATCCACCTCTATACGTGTCTGATATGAAAATTCACTTTCTCTCGAACGATATTGTGAACTCTATACATTTGTGGATGGGATTTTCAAGGCACCAACACAAGCGTCAATGTTTCAACTCTGCTTCAGCTGTATTTGAAAGCTACAATCAACTTTTTTTCCCACCTTTCGCCTCTTGTGTCCTCTGGGTAATTGATCAAATACACACGGATATTGTAATCTCAGAGACTCCACAACTTCAAGATCGTTCTTGAGATTGGCACAAGAGTCCAGCGATTCTCACTCTATCGAAGTCAGAAAGTGTTGAGGTGAAAAAAAATGCACACACAAGTCCAAATTAGCATTCAGTTAGCACACAAACTCTCTTGCCTCTCTTCAACTTTTCCCGTCGAGTCAGAGAGCTGGAAAAATGCACATTCACAAAATACTCGTGCGTCCACAGAAGCTTTCTGCAGAAATCTTCTCTGTGTCCTTCCCAAGAAGAAAAATCCACTTGCAATTTCACTCTTTTCCGATGCCCGGGAAAGTCTGGAAGTTTGCGCGCACTCGCGATGATAGAAAATCGCTCACAATTCAAATCTCAACGCTTCTTGAGACAAAGTGGCGAAAAATATGAAAAAAATGATGTTTTGTGATATTATATATTTTTTTTTCCTTTCTCGCTAAGAAAACGAAACTCTCGCGCGTTTCACCGAAAAAAAATAGAAGATATAATAATAATGTTTAGTGATGTTTTATTTTGGGGAGAAAAAAAGAGCAACACGAAACACGAAGAGACCGTCTTCGTGCAGAGGTCGGCATAGACTAAATTGAAAACTTAAGAATTGCAAGGTATTTCTTAAGGTTGGTGGCAGGGGAACAACAATCACAGGAGTGGGGCATCGCGTCGATTCCCACTCTTGGAGCCAATTTACCATTTTAACCAAACAGGGTTCACACTAAACCAACACTGGCGGCTCGTGTGGCTGGTGTGAGAGGAAAATGTGATGCACGAGGGGCTGCTCGCTCTTGAGTTAGTATTTTTCTTGCTAATATTATTAATCTTTCTCACTTCAGCTTCTTTGCGGGGTCTTGAAGCTAAAATCGGGACCAATTAGACGATATTTTGTGAAGCTTTCAATGAAAGTCTGAAAGACAAATCTAAGCTGAACTTTGACCTAACTTACAGCCTATAACTGACATTGAAATTCTTTGAAATTATAGTGTAATTTTCATTCGAAGAGACGCTTTCTTCTCGCAGAAAAGCTTCTTGAAGTTTTTTCAGTTGGTTTCCAGTTTGGTTCTTGCAAAAAAAAGACTTTCTGCTACTGTTCACGTCGTTGAAACTACATCTGTTCTTTGTTGTTTGCTTCGTCTTCAAGTTTTTCTCTTATTTTGTAACACGTCTTCTCTGTTTCTTTTTCTCTTCCGATTTTCTGCATTCTCTGTTCTTTGTTCTGTTGTTTGGTGCGTTGGACTTCATTCTTCGTTCGTAACTTTTATCCGTTTTGTTAGCTGTGCTGGCGATGAACAGGTTGTTCCTCAGAAGGAGGAAAGCTTCCTCTGACTGACTTGTATTTTACTTCACTGAGAGATTAACCTATGTCTTGTTCTTAACAGAGTTCCCAAGTACTTCGAATACCCTTTCTTTCCTGAGTCGCCCAATCGGCTAAAACCGTCTGTGTGGAGCCAGCGAGTAGCCCCTTTTACTTCTTTATGTCGATTTTTTCTGCCTCCGCGGGCCACTCAAGAGTAACATTTCCTATCGCGGCGATTCTTGTGAAAATTCGCACCAGAAAGATCACGTAAGATATTCTCGTTATTATCCAATGAAGTGTTTGAATAATCACACAATCGCTGGATGATTGTCCAATGAAGGGGAAATTGAACACCCTCTCGAAACCCACCCAAAACATCGGATACAAGAAGTCCATTGATTTGAAAATTTCCTCAAATGACTTCATTGTTGGCTGTGGAATTATATAAATGTGCGAGTTTTTCCTAAATTTCCTAACAAGACACTCTCTTGTTGTCTTGCACTTTCACTGAGACAAAAATTTGGGTTGAGCGAAGATTAAATGCCCCTTGAATTTTGCAATTGTGAAATTGATTGAATTACTCACAGGGAAATGTGTGCGATTCAGGTGGGAAAATCATTGACGATTCTTGATTGTTTTTAAGGTGATTCCTCGAAAGTTATTAATCACTCATATTTTTCTCGGGGTATTTTTTAGTCCGTTTTACTCCCCATCGTTAAAGATTATTTGTGGAAGATCAGATAAAGCGTCTTTCTCCGCATCTTGGCATGGATTTTTTGGGCAAAGAACACGCGAGGCGATAATAAAACATCCATAAAGACGCCAGTTCGTCTGAAAGTGGTTCTTAAATTGGTGAATAAACAAATTTCTATATGATTGATATTCTGGGAATTATTTTCGCCCATGAAGAGAGACAAATGCGAAGAGATTCTTTGGACTTTTGGTCACGCTGATGGCACTTCTTGGGAATGTTTTGCGTCTTCTGTGGCTTCCGGTCGATTCCCGGTGCGATCATGAATCAGTAATTGAGTAGAACAATATTTGCCACCCATCTGACAATTTTTGCGGCCGTTCGCGCCATATTTGTGACGCCAGTCGATGAGCTTTTAGTGGCTTTTGCAGGGTTCGCTGTCTTTCGCGTTGATGTCTTTCGTCCATATGATGTTTTCTCAATTACTTAGCACAAAAACCGTCAGCGCGGTGTTATGAAATCACATCACACAATAGAATATTCTAACAGCACTGGAGGTGATTTTTTTTTCTGGCAAAATAGCCGCGAAGAAATGGGCGTCAGTGGGAGATTTCATTCACAAAAGTCACTCAGCAGCACTGAGAGAAAATCTGTGACACATCCCACTTCTGACACCGGTGGCGAGTGAGTAAAATGGCCAAATTGTGTGATTTGCTGAAGAAAGTATCAACTCAATGGTTGATTGAGTGGTGAAAAGACGGGCAAAACTGTCCAAAGTGAAATGCCATTAATTGTTGGCTGCGCCACGGAAAAGAAATGGACAATTATCCGTTTGTATTGTCGCGCGCAAGTGATTTTCTCAATGCAATGAGAGTCTGAAATTGCTTTGTTATCGAAGGTTGAGGTCGTTGTGTAGAAAAAAAACACACACACACATACTGCATCTCTTAAAGTTTGTGTTCGCATGATGCCCGCGATGCATCTCGCGGCGGAAAAACCACAAGGAAACCGCGTGCAAAAACAAGATCACATCTATTGTCAATTAACTCTGCGCTGTTTTTCGTGTTGCTTCTCCATTTGGAGATTAGGAAGAGTTCTATCTTAATTGTTGTAGCATTGATTCTAATAAATTGCAATTAAACATCCCACTCAACTCATAATTGCACTTCCATTTATGTGTACAATTAATATACACAATATTTTGTGATTAGCTGGAAGTATATTTGCAAACATCAGACTTTCAGAGAGTCTCTCTGCAAGGTAACACGTGACTCAAATATTATCACTTGCGCACACTTGGGATTTTGGCATGCAAACACAGCAACAACAATGTTGGATGTCAAGGAGAAAATCCAAGGGGGAAGTAAAGAGTTGATGTTTTAGGAATCAAACAACTCATTCAAAAATTTAAGTATTGAATAAAAAGTATACAAGAAAATGAATCTATTTTCTCAAGTAAAGTTACAAAATATTCAAAAATTTAATATTTTTAGTAAAATATTAAAGTATCAAATTTTTTGTCACATATTTCCGCCAGAGGGCAGCAGGTGAAAGGTATGTAGAAGTTTCGATGGTGTTTCCTAAATGCAGCGAGTTCGAATTCAGTTTGTGACAATCAAGGTGACAATTTTTTTCACACATTTTCATTTTTACCTATTTTTTGTGGCATAATTTTAACAATTGACTAATGCAGGAGGTTAAAACGCCTCTCAATAGATAATTATACCAACTGCAACTTGCATAAAATAAAATTTGTTGAGTATTTTAATATTTATTTGACATAATTCAAATAATTGAATATGTTTGAATTCACAAAATATTTTCCCCTTTAAGAAAATCATTCTCCTGGAAATCCATCGCAATTTGACTCTGAGAGACTCCGTGAAAAGCCGCAATATCAGCACTTGGCGAGAGAGAACGATTTCACACCAAAAATTTCCAATGAATTCTCCCAAAGTGATTATGAATAAATTTCGAGTTTTCGGCCAATAATTTTTAATACTGTGTCGTCGTTGGTGATTTTCTCTCTCTCTCTCTCGCTCTGGGTTTTTTTTTGGAAGAAGAGTGTTACTTTTTTGGGAAAACGCAGAGTTAGAGGTCAAGGTTGGGAGGAGTTGTGAGTGATTTTTTGGATTTATTTCCACGCTATTTGATCAGACAATTTTGCTCGCAAAGCAATCAGAATCCACTCGATGTGTATTTGCATACAATTAGTGGCTCCGGTGGGCAAATATTCCGATTTGTGTGTGCGGAGTTATGCTCTCGCGCAAGAGGAAGAGCTTTGCACAGCTTTGCGAGATTATGCCATGTAAGGACATCATCCGTGCCACGCGAAGAGCGCGCCTTCTCACGGCCAGCATAACAGACTCTTTGTCGACGAGCTTGGCATAAATCGATTAATCTCCCATACCTGTGTGATTCATCTCATTCTCGGCGCGTCGCTCACCTGCAATCAATTCATGTGATCTGCCTTTTTGCTATCGCAAAAGAGCCGGTTTTTTTTGATGCCCAAAGCTTCCCCATTTGATCGACATAATTTGTGTGATTTTCAGGCCCCATCGTGAGCCAAACCCATTCACGGCTAAAGGCTAAATTATTCGCGAGAGTGACTTAATTTGTTTTGTCCATTTGCGGCTTAAGTGGTTCTCTCGAAGGATTCGCGCGCTCTCGTTTTTGTCCAAGTCACAACGCGTGCCTCAATTACGTGTCGGACAAAC